CTATGAAGCTGATTCTCTTCATTTGAAATCCTTGAAGAAAAAATGTCATTAAAACTCTAGAAAGTAGATATTGCAACAGACTATACCTACATCTCAGCACACAAATTATTTAATGGTACGGAAGTGGAAGATATACAAATATAACTAATAGCTAATCATTTTTTCTGTACATAAACTTACTTAAAAATATCTTATAACACAAACTTTTCGGTACTTTTCATACTAGTATTGTATTGACAGTATAAAAATACTTTATTTATGAGATATGAAAACATCTTAAAATGTTCAACTTTGAATTTAAGTAGAACAACATAGTATTTTTTTCACCCAGGAAACAACTTTTGACAGAAATTTCAATACATCTTTTTTGTGTACACCCCCACAGATGGAACTGAAACTACCGAAATCCTTCAGAAGTTGCAAGCTCATAATATTAACAGAACGTATTTATAATAAACGAAGGGAAACAAATGATGAAAAAAGCCAAATTAGATGTGGAAAAAAGTCTTTATTAAAACGTGTAGTGATGATGGTGCAGCTGGCCTAAATGATAAAGTTGTTGTCATCATGTATACCTGACATATTTACAACGTGTTGCCTAATAATGGCAATGCTCGAAGAAGAAATCTCTAAGAGCCGCAGTACCGGAGGAACTGTGGCAATACATGGCAATACATAGATGTGCTACGCATAATGAGCAGAATGCGTGATTTGTTTGAGTTATCAATCACGCTTGATTATTTTTTTAAAAAGAATTTACATTACAAAAAGTTTTAATAATGAAAGTGATAATCAAAAACGTGGCTCATTTCGTAGGTTGCTCCGTTCAACAGCTCCGTTGGTTTCAACTGCCACAACAGCCTCTATAAATGCAAGTAATGTACAAAGGCAAGTTTGGTCATTAAAAGTTTAACTTTATTCAATTAAATTTAATTATGCTACATTATTCAAGAATTTAAGATTAGAACTCATAACTACTATGGAGACTCCACGATGATGGCTTCATAGGATTGTAAAATGAAGTTATCTACAGATACTATGTTGCTGTAATACAAAATGTAAAAAAATTTCCATCAATGATAAATAAAATAATTAGGAGGGATGTTTGAAAAGTTTTCCAAAGTTACTCACCCCTCCCTGCGTGCTGATATCGTATTGACAATTTTCGTATTAAAATTGCCATTGACACGTAGTAAATTACTGACATTCGCAGTCATTTCACCACTCAAAACGTTGGCCAACAAAATGTAGGTCTTCTCACCGGGCAAGGAACTTTAATATTGTAAGAATTAATTTGTTTAGCAGTCAATAAATATAAGCACAATTTCACACAAAAACCCATAAATAATTGAATGAATAAAAGAAGTTAAAAAGATGTTTTTTAAACTTCAAAAACAACAACGATACTTGAAATACACCCGTGAAACCTTATATTTAACTCACCGCTTTATGGCCAAAATATTGTCATTAACGGCTCCATATTTAACGTCTCCATATTGCAGCGTTTGGGTTTTTCGTAGCTCTGACAATTGCTTGTAAATACTTAAATGACTCTTAGAATCAGTATTCTCTGACTCCATATTGACGGAAACATAATTGGGATTAATGGGTAGCCAAGTTGTACTGTTTGTGGAGAAGCCTGCATTTTCTTGGTTGCTCCATTGGAATGGTGTGCGACATGGATCACGCGTAAATTGTTCATAAATTTGAGGATTTGAATTACAAGCTGCAGGATCACGTGTATCTTCCCATGAAATATCCAAATCCAACATACCAATTTCCTCACCCTGCAAAATATCAACTTATTTCATGTATTTCACTTAAAAACTACATTCTCACCATGTATGTAACGCTCACACCTGGTAAAAACATTTGTATCATGTTCATGATATCAATACGCTGCTCACCGTAACGGCTACCCACTCGTCTCTGATCATGATTGCCCATCTATAAAAATCAATTATCACGTATACGTACAGTATGTATATATGTTCATACAATTCGATAAATATTGCGATCCACTTACCACCCAATTTGGTGTTTTGCCAGCTGGCATGAGATTCATCCAACTATCAATAATTCGCACAAATTCTTTAGCTGGTAGTTGTGTATTATTTTTATCAGCATTTCCATCCACAATAAATTGAAAATTGAATGGTATTTGTGCGCCTTGAGTTGTGCTATTGCCATATAACTTCATTACTACGTCCAACGGCGGATATGCTTCGATCATTAGCACACGCGTATCGCCACCATGTATTCGCTGATAATCATCTAATAACTGTCGCCACTGATAGACCATATCAATAGTTTCTGGTTGATTCTGTGTGTAGATATGATTCAAATAGCCAGAGTCATCTTTATCATCAGTAAAACCACTAAGTGGCTCATCAGGATATCTGCCATTTGCATCAGGGACCACCTCAAAGCACCAAGGCACAGCGTCAACTCGAAATCCCGCTACGCCACGATCTAACCAGTATGTGAGTACACGTTTCATTTGTGCCACAACTGCTGGATTTCGGTAGTTCAGATCAGGCTGCTGTACTGCAAATTGATGAAGATAATATTGCTGGCGATCTTCATTCCACTCCCAGGCACTACCACGGAAAGCTTGCAGCTAAATATATAAACAAATGCTCTGTTACAAAACAAATCGTTTTGTTTTTATAAATAAAAGAAAATAACTCAAAATCGTCTGAAGTTTTTGATTCTTTTTTTGTAATAATAACATAATTAATTCTTTTTTCCTTATAATTTCAAAAATTATCATTATTAAACTCCCATACTAATTACTTTTAACTGTTAGCTATTACTACAAAGTTTACCTCGAGGTTATAAAATACATTAACTCTCAAATCCTTCAAATGCATTTAATTTCTTTGAAAATCTTCTTGTTCTTACCCAATTACTGGGCGGCACACGTTCTCCGTTCTCGTTTTTATATCCATCATGCCAAACATAATAATCCTCATAACCCTTTTCACGTCGCACTGACTTCTTAAACCATTCATTCATATCGCTTGAATGATTTGGCACAAAGTCCAGAATAATTTTTAGCCCGAGTGTATTGGCTTCTTTGATCAAATTATCAAAATCTTCTAATGTGCCATATTCCGGTTGTATATCAAAAAAGTCTGCTATATCATAACCAAAGTCCACCATCGGAGACTTGTAGATGGGCGATAACCAAGTCGCTGCAACTCCAATTTCCTTCAAATATGACAACTTTGAAGTGATACCTTTGAGGTCGCCTATACCATCGCCATCAGAGTCCATGAATGAGCGCGGATAAATTTGATAAAATTGTGCCAGTTGCCACCAATCCTTACTGGTCCTAGCAGTTCCTTGCACGGCACCACCTGTTCCGCTACAAGCCTCAGTACGGTGTACAAAAAAAATTATAAAAAATATTATTATTGCTAAGGAAAACTGCATTTTCAATGATTTTATAGTTTTAATGAAAATATAACTAAATTAAAGCCATCAAACTGGAGCTGCTTTATGTGTCAAGTTCGATCGACTAAATACTGTTCTGTGCTACTGACGAATCTCTTATAAAAGTTCGCCTCAAATGGGCTAAACTGATGAGTACCTTCTACTGCAGTTATGAGTTAAATTTTGAGTGGAAATGTTTGTGCAATATCACGATACTACACAAGTATTTTAATTAGAAATCTAATTTCTTTATAGATTTCATTGATATCATTGATTTCGATTGGAATCGTCATTTGCTCAGAAGTTGTTTGCTAATTTGTTTAACATTTTTTGTGATTTTTTTATTTTGTATTTTTCCATTGTTTACATTAATAGATAACTATTTTTTCAGTAGTAAGGTCAGAAATCTTTTGAAAAGCATTATCTCGAAATACTTACATTTTTACTCGTTATAAAAATCTTAAGTTATTTATTCATTATTTTTTATTTTAAATATTTATTATATGATTATATGATACTCGTACTTTTATAAACCAAGTACTAAGTAGAAACTTATAGATCGTTAACACTACAAAAAAATGTGAACTTATCGTGAAGTTAATTAAAAGCAATAAAAACAATTACTTAATTATAATAAACGTATTAAATGTTTAATATTAAATTTAATATATAAAAACTGAAAATAATAGGTAATATAAAGTTGTTTAATAACGAATTGTAAGTCCAATTACATTACATTTCCGACTTGTAATTATAAATAAATTATTATTAGTTTAAAAATTGTTACTAAATGTTCTCTAATTTACTTCATTTTTTCTGCCATTCGAACATCTTTTTATACTTCAGTTAAAAGTAATTGAAAAAAAAAATTGCTTCCAATATTAAGATAGTTTTATTTTAATAAAATAAAAAAGATATGAAATTAACTTTCTTAACTTAACTTATGTGCAAGAACGTAGCTGAAATAGATTTATTAAAATAAACAACAGCCAATTAAATAAAACGGAAAATATATGCAAGCTAACAGCACCAGATAGATGGAAGTATTCGCATGATTAACGCACACACTTTCTGTAAAAACTTCTATATAAACATCAAAATTCATAAAACATTGTTATCACTGTTAGAAGATAAGGTTTAGCAGGTTAACCTGTATATCTTTCTTATCATATACTTTGAAGTTACTACGCATCTTAAGTATGAAGAGTATAATAAGTTTCAATCCTTTGTTCTTGAGATATTTTTCAACTCATAATTGTGTAATAGAGGATTTGACACCTAAACATATTCGATGGTCTGCTATTGGATTCGTAATTTGTTATAATCAAGGAGATCTATAATAATCAAGGAGGAGGCGAAGAAATTTAAGTGTTTCTTATGTGAGCTCTTCTAATAAAATTTCATTCGAAGGTTGGGAACATATTTTAGGATACGGTCCTCTTTGATGTTAGTGTTATTAAAGTTTTTTCCTCAACATTACTCAACAAATTCTTATATCATTGATATATACCATATTATAATAAATCTTGATGCTATAAGTTTTTCAATGTCAAACTACATAATTGATACTAAATAATTTATGCGATGTTTTTAATAGTTAAATTAATAAAACTACAATTATATATAAATCGATATCTAATAACAGCACATATGTTATTCACACTTGATCCTCTGGTGAGTAATATGTGTAATACCCAACCGTTGTTGTCAATTTAGTAGGTGAACGCAATACCACAGCTTCTTTGGATAATAAACGTAATGAGGAAATGTTGATTAAATTTCTGCAAGATTTAAAATTGAAAATCAAAAAATATTTTCATATTAACAATAATTATATATCATTTCATTTACCCTATTCTTGCACTGGACTTTGAAGTTATAATGGCATATTCCATTTGCTTTGGCAGACCATCGAAAGCATTGCTCAAGTCTACATTAACCACATTGTCAAATATATTCATCACAGTGACATAAGTGTGATCATTCAATAAAGTTCTAAAATTTTATATGATAAATTAGTAATTAGTAAATTGATTATTACTTAAATCAAACTTACCGTTTAACACCCAACACTGCATTATTAACCGCTTTTACTAGTACGTCGCCATGTCGTAGCGTTGGTTCTTGACGCAACTCCTGTAACCGCTTATATACATTCAAGTGGCTAAGTGACATGCCGCGCTCTCGTTTGACATTCACTTCTTTATACATGTCCGATATTGGTAGCCATGTTTTATTAGCTGTACTGAAGCCAGCATTTTTCTCGTCGCTCCATTGAAAGGGTGTACGTTCGGGATCACGCGAAAATTTTTCATATGTGTCTGGATTTGTATGACAAGCAGAGGGATCCACAGTATCTTTCCACGAAATCCAAACATCAGTCATGCCAATTTCTTCACCATTATAAGTAATACTGCAACCAGGTAGTGTTAAAATTAACATATTCATCATGTCAATACGATCAGCGCCAAGACGCGAACCAACACGATTTTGATCATGATTACCAATCTAAAATTCCATATATTTCGATAATTCTTAAATAGTTTTAAACATAAAATATAATGTGCATTTATTGTGTCCTTACCACCCAATTCGCTGTTCTACCTTCAGGCATATTTTTCAACCAAGTATTCACTGTTTCTGCATAATGATATGCATCTGAATCGTTTGTCAACCAATTGATCATCAGAAAGTTAAAAGGTATTTGCGCGCCCTCGGCTGTTGCATTGCCATAATATTTCATGTCCACTTCAATAGGAGAGTATGCCTCAGCTAAAATTACACGCTCGTCTCCACCATTTTTTCGTTGAAAATCATCCAGAACACTACGCCACTCGTAAACAATATCAATTGTTTCCGGTTGGTCTACAGTATAGATATGCTTTAAATAACCATAGTCATCAGGATCAGTGACCCAGTCGTTACGAGGCTCATCCGGCCAGTTACCATTTGCATCTGGTGCGACTTCGAAAACAAATGGCACTGCGTCTACTCGAAAACCAGCTACACCTTTACGTAACCAAAAACGTAAAACTTCCTAGCAAATTTAATTGTATAATACAATAACCAAAATTTATTTACATATTCTCTTAAGCTTACATTCATTGTTTCTCGCACTTTCGGATTCCGGTAATTTAAATCTGGTTGTTTGCTTAAAAATTCATGTAAATAATACTCTTGCCTACCCTCATGCCATTGCCAAGCAGATCCGCGAAAAACGCTCACCCAATTTGTAGGCGGATGTCGTGTACCGTCAATGATTTTACCTGGATGCCACACATAAAAGTCTTTGTACTCTGGGTCAAGCGCAGCTGACTTCTTAAACCATTCACACTCATCGCTGGTGTGATTGGGTACAAAATCCAAAATAATCTTAACTCCAACTTCTTTAGATTTGGCTATTAAGTCCTCAAAATCTTGCATGGTGCCAAAAAGTGGATCAATTTCAGTAATATTGGATATATCATATCCAAAATCTGCCATCGGTGAGGTGAATATTGGGGAAAGCCATGTTGCTGCTATACCAATTTCTTTTAAATACGGCAATTTTTCTGCAATGCCTATAAAAAAGATTTGCAAATGAATAACATGGCAAAGCAATAACAAGAAATTTAAAAACAATAACAAAATAAACCGATAAACGCAATACATTACTATATATATTATTTAAATACCTCTCAAATCTCCCACCCCATTTCCATCGCTATCACTAAAAGACCTTGGATAAATTTGATAAAAAGACGCCGTTTGCCACCACTTTTTTTCAGCATTTAATTCTTTTAATGTTTTCTCTTTATCCCAAGAAACAAAGTCGAAGTGAGCACGGTAATTTGGAAAAACGCCAGCATATATCACGCTTAATGCGCAAAAGAATGTCACCCAGTGCAGCAGTGATCCCGGCATGACTAAAAAAATATTCCACAAATCTCTCCACTTAACAACTCAGTGTTCACACGACGATTTACGAAACAAGACTGACACGAGAAAAAACATTATCCCGCAGAGTAACGAAAAAATCAAAATCAAAATCATAATAAAAATAAAAATAAAAACATATGTTGACAACTTGGTTGGTGGTCGGTTGTCGGTGGGAGAGGCATTAGACACACGTTTCTCACAAATAATATATTTCGCTTTTTTATATAATATTGTGGTTATCATTAGGCTTATTTAAATATTATCGTCTGCTTATTGCTACCGCTTACCGCATTATGAGTTCAATAGCACCGTTAACAAGTGCATGTAGAGTAAGTCATATCACAGATAAGTACTGGTGTGCTCGGCTATAAAAGCACACTACATACTGCATAACAGAGGTGTGTTATATATATAGCACACAAATATATAACTACCAAGAGATAAGCATTGTATACATTCCTTCCTCATGCTATTCTTAATCATGCTGATAAATAATAATAATAATTCTAAATATGTATTTTTTAAATTAATTTAAAATGTGTAAGAACATACGAGTATATGTTATTCGCAGAGTATAGCCTTTGTCCCAATGACAAATTTATCAACGCGTGAAAATAAATCACTACCATCCATTGAATGTCTGAGATAGCAAAATTTTTGTTTGTTGTATATAGAATTTTTTTATTTAGGTTAGTTAATTATATAAATACTATTACAGAAATGAAAAAGTATAAATTTTCTCTACCGAACGTAGCACCACTACTTCATGGGGCATTAATGTAATGCTTTTAACTGAAGTGAAGTCACTAAAATAGAAATAGAAAATATAGATTTATTCTAATATATTTGTTATAATTTAGATGTTTTACCCTTTTCTTCTTGGTGACTTATCATTGACAAGTATGTATTCCAGTTCATTTGGAATTCCCTTGAAACTGTCATCCAAATTTATATATTGCACATGTTCAAACACATTGAGCAAAACAATATATACTTGTTCCCCATATAAGTAGCTATTAGTGAAAAAAAAATAATTCTTATTGTAGTACTATTTGTCCCTATTTGCCTCACTCACCGCTTGACACCTAATACATTAGAGTTTACTGCCTTTACTTCAGCATTGCCATCTTGTAACACTTTTTCCGATCGCAAAACCTGTAGTTGCTTAAAAACATTCAAATGACTGAATGTTATACCACGTTGTCGTTTAACATTAACCAACTCATAATCTGTACCGACAGGTAACCAAGTAGTTTCGCCAGTTGAAAAACCAGCGTGCTTGGCATCACTCCATTGGAAGGGCGTACGAGCAGGATCACGTGAGCGGTACTCATAACCATCTTCGAACCCGTTACAAGCTTGCGGATCAACAGTATCATTCCATGATATCCACACATCAGTCATTCCAATCTCTTCCCCATTATAAGTAATACTGCAACCGGGCAAAGTGAGTAGCAATATATTAAATAAATCTATGCGTTCGCTGCCAAAACGTGAACCTACACGATTTTTGTCATGATTTCCTATCTGAGTGTGAAAAAAATGTTCATACACATAGCACTAAATCGTCTTGATAACTACATACCACCCAATTAGCACTTCTTCCTGCAGGCATACGATCTAACCAAGCATTTATTAGCTCGGCGTAATGATAGGCATCGGAACCGCTCCACAAGTAACTTATCATTTGAAAGTTAAAAGGAATCTGTGCACCTTCAGCAGTATCATTACCGTAGTAGTGCATCATTGTGTCAATTGGTGACCAAGCTTCTACCATTAAAATTCTTATCAGTATAAAGATGAAGAAAGAAAATAGGCATCAACATCAACTCCAAAAAAGTCAAAATATGAGCTGAATACCTTTCATCTCCACCGTTTTCCTTTTGAAAATCGTCCAATACTTTGCGCCATTCATACACTAAATGTGGTGTTTCTGGTTGATCAACCGTATATATATGATCTACATAACCATAATCCTCAGGATCATTATTCCAATCATTTCGTGGCTCATCGGGATAGTTGCCATCTGCATCAGGGGCTATCTCAAAACCATGGTGTATGGCATCAACTCTGAAGCCATCAATTCCCTTACGCAACCAAAATCGTAAAATTTCCTAAATCCAAAAATTCTTCACAACCTTAAATTTTTTCAAATACCTTTAAGTTACTTACATTCATAGTCTCGCGTACTTGTGGATTACGAAAATTGAAATCCGGTTGCTTTTTATGAAATTGATGTAAGAAATATTCTTGCCTGCCTTCGTGCCACTCCCATGCGGACCCACGGAATACACTTACCCAATTGTTGGGTGGAGAGCGTACACCGTTTTCAATTTTACCTGGATGCCAAACATAGAAATCCTTATATTCGGGGTCTTTTGCTGCTGATTTAATAAACCATTCACACTCATTGCTGGAATGGTTTGGCACAAAATCCAATATAATACGCACACCCAACTTTTTTGATTTTGCCATCAATTCATCAAAATCTTCCATGGTGCCAAAGAGCGGATCAACTTTTGTAAAATTTGATATGTCGTAACCAAAGTCAGCCATTGGCGACTCTAAGAACGGTGACAGCCATGTGGCTGCAATCCCAATTTCTTTTAGATAAGCTAAACTATCCGTCACACCTTTCAAATCGCCAATACCATCACCATCACTGTCTTTAAAAGAACGCGGATATATTTGATAAAATGAAGCTGTTTGCCACCAAGCCTTGGCAGCCAGACTAATATCAGATGCGCCAAAGCAAAACAAAAACACTAAGACCCACTTAGGACTCATCGCGACGACCGTTCGCTTGAGTCTAATAATTTCTCAAAATTATTTGTGTCCAATTGTTTTTTCAAAAATATTAAAAACTACTTTGTTTTTCGTCCAGTTTATATTGTAGCGAACCTAATCTTTATTGCACTAAAGATAAAGGCAAAAATAAGTTAAGATTAGTTCATAAATAAAAAATGTTTCGAATTACCTATATTTCATATTGATTGATATAATCAAAGATTTCCAACTAACGTTAAAAATTAAAGCACTTGCACTTAAATGTATACACCATATGTCATACATATGAACTCGGTATATAAATATGATCTAACGAGTAGTAATTAGCACTGAAATGAATTTATAAGGACTCAATCGCATAAATCGTATTCTGATAAGAGTGGTTCAATTAAGATTAAGTGTTAACTTTATATTGTACAGTAATTTGATTATGATTATGCTTTAAATATGAAATTAAACAACTTATATTTTTGTCATAACTATTAAAATTCACAATTGTTTATATCTAATAAGCCATCTATTCTCCAGAACATACACTTTTTGCAAAGTATGTGCAAAGTATATAGACAAATAACTGAATATTATTTTTAGTCCGGCTTACAGATTCCTTCTGTAATGTTATTGTATTGCGTATACATACACATATGTAGGTATATATATATATTATTGTATATTTACAATAATTAATATTTATATTGTTTACTGCAATTCGATTTGATTTGATAACAAATTAATTATATTCCAATAAATACTTAATCATATATTTGATGTATATAATATATATTTCAATGAGATCACATTTAATCAAATTCAAACCTTAGTTGCATAAGTTATGAAGCCTCGTAATGCTTAATAATTGATTTTAAAATATATCTCATACTTTTACTAGATTACTTAAGTAGTTCTACTTTGTCCAAATACGAACAATTTCAAGTAATCTTTCTCTTCTTTATTGCGGCTATAAAATTTAGCAGACACGCAGGTATTATAAAAAACTCATTAAAAAATATTTAATCTTTCTTTAACCTTCAAATGGAGCCTTGTAGAAAATTGTGGCTTTTTACAATCTCTTATCACCTATCATCGAGCTAATGTATATCACCCCATACAAATCAAATTGGGACTTAAGTGTTAGGTATTTCAAGAAGTTTTCGATATGGCAAACAGAGTGACTTAGTCATCGAAGTGGACTGAAGTGTTCTGTTTGTTTATTATATAGAACTTGATGAAGTTGATAACTTAAATGATGGGTAAATACTTCGATACACAAAAATTATTTATAATAGGATTTTTGTTTATTTTGTATCACACCTTCATTGAATTTTTATTGACTTAAGTAATTGAATAGAGGAAAGCATATAATGATAGATTGATTGCAAATATTCACTTATTTTATATATCTATTAACATTGTTCTCTTAAATAATATTTCTGTCAATACGTTTTTACTTACCCCGTAAATCTCCAACGCCATCATTGTTAGTATCTTTGAACGATCTTGGATATATTTGATAAAACGAAGCTGTTTGCCACCATGCTTTTGAGCCTAACTTTTTTTCAGTACTTGTCTTTTTTAATTTTATGTACTCAATATTTTCATATTTATTATTGTAATTAGCATTAGAAACACTAAAAAGAATAAACGTTAAAGCTAAACACCGGTAAAATGATTCCAAGCGTAAAGGCATCGTTACGAATATTGACTCAAGTTCTCGTAAATCACAACTGAATTAAATAAATAACCACAAACTTATCTGATCGCTCATTAAAATAATTTTCATCAGGTCAACTCGGCGCTTCTCTCAAATACAGCGTTTTGACGAGGAATATTTAAATTAAGCGTTCGAAATTACAAAACATTTATAAAATGAGATGAATTGGATTGAAAATGAGATGACAACTTTTTAGCTTATGGCACAGCCAACGTATGATGACACATGATTCAATTGATCTTAATTAAATACGATACACCTAAAATGTAAAGCACCTTTTAAATTGATTATATTTAATAGTTAATTTATATAATTAATGCATGCAACATTATAATCAAATTTTCACTCAGCTCAAATATATGTAAAAACTATTTCTTTATATATAAATTAATTTTTGTTGCAAAAATGGAGTCCCCAATCATAAAGTAGCTGCACATAATATTGATTATCTAGTCGAAATTACCTGCTATCAGATCCCTACATGGACCTATTGTAAACTGCACAAAAATATACCAGTCAACTACTTCAACTAAAGCATAACATGCTTAGCACTGCAGTATCGGTATTGACAGGTCACTGCATAAAAGGAAAACATGCTATTAAAATGGATTTACCCTATAATGACTTTTGTCTTTGTTGTAGCTTCTGAAGATGAGGAAGTAACCGTTTTCTACCTCATATGCCAATGCCCATCTTTAGGTAGGAGAAGATCTAATGTCTTCGGGACTCCTTTTTTACCTTACCGGACTTAGTCAAATTTATAGAATTGTTAGGTTGGTTCATCTTCACCTAATGGGGGAGTCATGCCTCTCGAAGTTGCTCGTACGCTGACCTCTAGTCAAGTGAGCTTTGCGCACAAGGCCAGCACTCTAACCTAACCTAATCGAAATTAAGTGAGATGAATATATTATTATATGTCCAGCTATAGATTTACTTTATGGACAGTATATTAATGTCCATAATATAACAAAATATTAATGTTCAATATTAATGTAAATAGAATGCTTGAAGTTAATATAAAAGACCTTTCTGGCCCTTTCCAAGGCCGGAGTATACTCAGGGTATCCTAAGGTGTTAATGCAAGATTTCCAAAATTTGCTTAGGAAAAAAAATTGTGTCAGATTTATATGTGGAACACAACAATTTAGATTATACTCTTCACCTTATTTATGACTTGAAAGTCCTACAAGACTATGATAATAAAAAAAAATATTACAATTAATTCTTTACAATTACAAATCCAAAAGAACAAAGCGAACTTGTTAAATAAAGAATAACATGATGAATAAAATAAACTATCATTTATAATATATAGGTAAATTGTCGAAGTTAGGAGTAAATTACGATTTAATTACTTAATTTATATTCAGGAAAAACATTTTTTTCTCCATTTACTACTATAGAAAGATTTCATTAACAATATACTTTAGATTTTTTTTTTAATTTTTTTTTTTATAATTTTCTTCTGTAAATATATAAATATCAAAAAAAACTAATATAAAAAAAAGAAACACCGAGAAAAAAAACAAGAGGTACTCACCGCAGTTGTTGAGATGACGTCACCGCTCCTCTGCTGTACCTGTCTAGTCTATGTTTGTAACAACAAAAAGAAAATATTCAACGTTAACTTTCCTATGATTTATATATTTACAAAAAAAGAGCGGGGTAAAAAAAAGAGTCCTCTAATAATTAATAAGATAGATCATACAATTTACATAATATAAGCTTAATTATTACATTATTATTATTATTGTTATTATTAACTTAATTATATCTTCAAAAAAAAATCCAATTAGACCTAGCTTATCTAACAGTTTATCTTCACATTTACTCCATAAAAATTTTATATGTAATATATTTCTGTTTATTAATACTGAATAATAATATTTAAAAGACAAAAAAACTCAAGTGGACTTAGATTATTTGCTTTGTTGAATTTACAATTGTTTCATTAAAAAAAAAAAAAAAAATAAAATTAAAAATAAAATAAAAAACAATTCATACATATGAACATATAAGTTAGGCAAAAGAAACTGTATAATATAATATATTTACTATATAAAGAGAGATAGGAAAAAAAATATAATATTTGTTCGCTGGTGCTATGTGCCAGGAGCAACGTTGTTGTAGCTGTGGTAGCGGCTGCTAGCGTCTGAATTGTTGTTACTGTTGATGATATAGCTGGCGCGATCGCCAGCAATTCTGCTTAGATGTTTTAATCAGAAGAATCACGAACATAACCCCGGTTTAAAGTCACCAACTAAACCACTGATTTGAATTTTCGTTTTAAAAAAATGAGTTTTTTTTTTCTATTTTTTTTTTTTATTATTATATTTTTTTTTTATTTCCGGTTAGTTTATTTCGTCCTTTTAGGCTTTAGTTATTTAGTTTTATGTATTTATATTTTTTTCAAATTTTTCCTTTTTTTTTCTTTTAATTCTACACGCAAATTAAGTTCGATTGGAGTCCACGCTAAGTTGTAGTTCACATGTAATCTTAACTTTGCGCCACTTTCTATGAGGATTGTTACCTATTTTAATTTACTCGTATTACTTCTGAATACCCCGGTTTTGGAAATTATTTGGTTTTGATTTCACCGGTTTTCTTTATTCAGTGTTCAATATAAAAATTACCGCACAAAATAACAGCACTTATTTCGGGTATATTTAACCGAACAGACAAAAAGGAAAATTCATGCAATTATATTACTTATAGTTCACAGAAGTTTTTTTTTTTTAGTTAATCAAATCCAGCAAAAGAATACTCTGTCACTCGTTTTGTACATTCCGTTTCAAACAAACCAACCAAAAAGAAACCAGTAGCTTCCCTGACTGCTCCTTTTAATTATTTTTAAAAAAAAATTATTTAAAATAAAGTTGGACGGACACACAGAGAAGGTATGTTAATATTACTATTTTATTGATATAGTATTCCTTATTTTATATAATTATTCTTTCTTAATAATTTCAGCTTACATCCAGCATCTTATTCCACCCAGAACTCCACTGAAGTTATTACTGTGAACTAGTCGTGAGCATTCGAGGTAATGTCCATGAAATATTTATCATTCAGTGGTTTTAATTATTTACTTATTGTAGGTCCTCATCACTGTAAGATCAATTTTATTTTTACTTCAAAAATTGATCATTACAATCTTCAATATAATTTTTTAAAAACGTTTGTAAGAAAGACGTAATGGAGTCAGTCGAGCATTTATAATATCAAATTCTACAGTCGCCATATTTGGAATATTAAACAACTTCATTTCACCATTTATAGCACACCCCCTACTTATACCAGACATTTAGAATGAAATAAATTTATAGAATGAAAAGACCACTCTTTATCGATTGCGAGTCAGGCGTATGAGCTAATAATATATATATTGAGTATAATTACAAGCATTAGCTAATATATTCAATATATTGTGTAGCTAATATTAAACAGAAATAACCGAGAGTAACTTAATCTATATCTCTTGCTATTGCTATGATTTTTATTTAATAAAGAATCTAACAATGGCGAATTACATTGACTCACCACATGAAATCATATATGACTTTATATATAACTAATTGTCTTCACTTAATAATGTCTGCACTTAACGAAATTGTGGCAATAGATGACCGTGACCTTTGGAAATATAAAACAATGAATGTATGTTTAAAGAAATTAAATTTGCATTTGCTAAACATAATAGCAGTATATTAATAAATAAATAAACAAGTAAATATTTAACGTATTAATTACATATAAAGATATTAATATAATATAACTAATATTATACTGGTAATATAACATATACCCTGATAAAAATCCAGTGAATTTTAAATGAATAATGTTATCTCTAAACTTGTTCCAATCGCAGAAATATATCCCTTTTGAGATCCAAAGGATCTATACACATGTAACGTAGTTTCACACCCAATATTTTAAAATCTGAAGACGTGAGTAGAATTATTTTAGTCAACTTGAAATAATTTTAATCAAATGAGCCATTCAAATAAAGGTTTCAGTACCTGATGACGTTTAAGGACTACCATTTTTTGTCTCAAAGTATAATTGATTTATATTATTATGTTCGAGTATAAGTTTGTAGTGGATATAATATATCTTAGACTAAAGAATCTGATTAATTTATTTTCCTTAGCAATCTACTGTAATAATGATTTCACAACTTCTTAAATGTATGAATGTAGTATTAATCATAACGAAGTCATGTGGTTCCGAGAGCGGCGATTATAAAGACTCTATTGTTTAATGAAATTTGATTTTAATTTCGATTGCAATATAAAATGCAATCAAATCCAAATTATTTATCGAATCCAAATTATTAAACGCAATTCCCGATAAGGTACTGTGATTTACTGATTTGCTTCCTATTGCAATGTGGTTACTTATTTTTGCTTATATGAACGCAAATCTATTTTTGAGCTTTCAATTTCTGGTATCTCAGGTGTAATCGAAGTAAAATAAAATTTTATGAGGGTTTCGAACATGCACTCGACGTGTGGCATCTGATAAGCACTAAGAAGGCATTAACGTTAGCAATTTTATTATTTATAGCGCAAAGCCATAGAAATTGACCTTTACTTGGCGGTTAGTGTTTTCCAATAGGCAACTAATTGATTAGAGAACGAAACTTAGCGTCATAAATTTATTATCAAATCCATGCGAGGAATGGCTGTTGAGTTTTATCTGGTTCTGGAAAAATTTTATTTGCATTAGGGTCTAATGAAATCTTTGAACTACTTTCATTTTTTATTGAAGTATGTGAATTTCGTAAGCTGTTAAAATTTATTAGCCATAAACTAAACTACAAAATCTAAATGAACTCAAACTAGTATTAATTTCAAATCATTTATAACTTTTTATATATCTATGTGTAGATAATAATGTAAATGTATTTGCACAAAACTATAGCAGAACAAATAATTATTTTATAATATTTAAAATAACTTTGGTCGTTTATTGTCTGGTTGTTGATTTCAAGACCACTGATTCCTTAGGCATCAAAGTAATACTTTTGCTCGAAACAACATCGCTGAAATGGAATTTTTGATATTTTTTTTAAATATTTTCAGTAAATATTTAATGTAGTTTAGACTTACCCAATTGCCCTAATTGACTTATCATTGATCACAACGTATTCGAATGAGCTTGGCATGTTATCAAAATGGTTGCTCAAATCGAAGTTTTCAATACTGTCGAAAATGTTGAGCAACGTTACATATGTGTAATCACCATGCAAGTAACTGAAATTACAAGATAATCAATGTAATAAAAGTAACAAACTCGAATAAATGTTCTTACCGATGAACACCCAAAACATAACGATTCAATGGCAATACCTCACCTTCACCATTTTTGAATGTGTCTTCATTTCTAAGTTCTTGTAATTGCTTATAGATATTCAAATGGCTTAAAGGCTCATCGCGCTCAGTTTCCACATTAACAGTTTGATAATTATCACCGACAGGTAACCAAGTTGAGGAACTATCACTGAATCCAGCATTATGTTCATTACTCCATTGGAAAGGTGTACGTGCTGGATCTCGTGAACGATATTCATACCCATCTTCAAAGCTGTTACAAGCTTGTGGATCAACAGTGTCTTTCCAAGAAATCCACACGTCTGTCATACCGATTTCTTCACCGTTATAAGTGATACTGCAACCAGGTAAGGTTAAGAGTAACATATTAAACATATCCATGCGATCCGAACCGAAACGTGAACCAACACGATTTTTATCGTGATTACCAATCTAAATAAAACATGCAAACCATATCAATTTTTTTCATAACTGAAATTTCCTTTCCACTTACCACCCAATTAGCTGCTTTACCTTCAGGCAAACGATCTAACCAAGAATTAATCATTTCAGAATAGTGATAGGCATCGGAGTCCCACCATAAGTTACTGATCATTTGGAAATTAAATGGTATCTGTGAGCCATCTTTAGTTCCATCACCATAATACTTCATTACCGTATCAATATCTGACCAAGCTTCAGTCATTAAAATGCTGTATTCAAAAAAATACAGTATGTGGTTTAACAATATAAATGCAAGGAATATTTTTAATGTACGCGACTTACCGCTCATCACCGCCGTTTTGTGCTTGATATTCTTCCAATAAGCTACGCCATTCGTATACCAATTGATGAGTTTCAGGCTGATCAGCTGTATACACATGATCAGTGTAACCATAATCCTCTGGATCGTTGTTCCACCAGTTACGTGGTTCATCAGGATAATTGCCATTTGCATCTGGAGCGACTTCAAAAGCATGATGTATTGCATCAATACGAAAACCATCAACACCTTTATCCAACCAAAACAATAAAACATCCTTAAAGAAAATTATGCGATTATATTAAATCAGTACAACTTAATTATTTTAGAGGAAACACAGTATAGTCACTTTTTTGTTAAAACTATTTCATAAAAATCTATTATTTTTGCTTACTTGCATAGCCTCTTTCACAGCTGGATTACGATAGTTAAGATCTGGTTGTTTCTTGTGATATTGATGGAAATAATACTCTTGTCTACCTTCATGCCACTCCCATGCCGATCCACGGAACACACTAACCCAATTATTGGGTGGATATCGTACTCCATTGTATTCAAAACCAGGATGCCAAACATAAAAATCTTCGTACTCCGGATCTCTTGCTGCTGATTTTATAAACCATTCACATTCGTCACTTGAGTGATTGGGCACAAAGTCAAGAATAATACGCAAATCTAATTCCTTGGCTCTACTCATCATATCTTCAAAATCATCCATTGTGCCAAAAAGTGGATCTACATCATAAAAGTCAGATATGTCGTAGCCAAAATCAGCCATGGGCGATTTTAAAAATGGTGACAACCATGTGCCAGTTATTCCAATCTCCTTTAAATAATCCATATTTTCGGTCACACCACGCAAATCACCCACACCATCTCCATCGCTATCCTTGAATGACCTCGGATAGATTTGATAGAATGACGCGGTTTGCCACCACGGCTTTTCAGCTAGCGTGGATATGCTTAAGCCCAGCAGCAGCACTAGCGTCCACTTACAAGTCATTACGCTAACAAATTTGAATATAAATTGAGCACTAGGCTTAAATACTTGGAATTGAAATCAGTGGTAGGTATAAATTTACAGGGAAATCTTTATTGCACATCTCGCTGATAAAATAAAATTATAAATCTTAATGAAGTATTGATAGCGTCGAGTGTTATACATATTATAAATCTCAGTACGTATATAGGGGTTTCTACTAAAAATAGCGCTATCGATCGTATTAACTGTATTAAAGATACTAGACTACTACCAGCAGGTGTATTATTCATATTTTTTATAGATTTTATTTTACGAACAATGATATTAATACACACATTTAGTATTATCAATTTTTAATTAAATTTTATGCAAAAAAATCAAAATTCACATTAAAATATATTATCAACCTTTTGAAAAATTTATAAATGAAATGTGGAACTTATATGTTTTCAGTTTCAGTTTTATTTAGTTCATCCTTTAATTCACATTCAATAGGATCTTCTTCGAATACTGCATAAACTATACGGAGATTATTTGTAAATCCCTTGCCATCTCTCCAATTTGACACCACAACAATCGCATCACCTGTTGTAAAATAAGTCACTCCATCAATTTATTATGCAACAATCTCAACAAAAAACTCACCCATATCCGCCATTTTATTTCTCTTCATTACACTGAGAGCATATTTCACACGCGAATCTATTTCTGTGACCCAATCTGCATCTGACTTCACTATAAAATTATAATATTGTAAGATCACTGCAATATTATGTTAAGTTAGATATCTTACTAGGATAAAGTAACGGCAGTACTCCGCGGTATAGCAAAGCCTGCCGTGAAGTTCTAGGACAGGTAGTAATTGCAATAATAGGGCAACGGGGGCGATACCTGCTAATCAGATATGCTGATTTTCCAGAAGTTGTCAACACAACAATAGCTGCTGCAGCCGTTTTTTTAGCCGCATTTACTGCTTCCACAGCTATAGCATGTATAGCGTCAACCAAAGCTGGATTTCGATGCATTAAATCGCTAAGGATATCATGATACCACAATGCGTTTTCTGCATCTCGACAAACTTTGTGTGCTTGCTTTGTAGTATGTATAGGATGTTTACCTATACCGGTTGCATGTGTTATCATAATTCCATCCGCTCCATCTAAAACAATGTTTCCTAGATCAAAAACCTAAAAGTAACTTATTATAAGGGATTCAACATTTTATAATAATTACATATACTCACATCAGCTAGAACCGGTCGCTGTTGATGTATCATAGAATCTAAAATATTAGCTCCAATAATAACAGGTTTACCTGCTTTATTACATTGACCAACTAATGCTTTTTGCAGTAAAAACAATCGTTCTGGGTTTAATTCTATGCCTATGCCCGCACGACCTAAAAGAATACCATCCGATACTTGTATCAAATCAGACAGTAATTCCATTGCCTGTAAGTTCTCTATTTTGGCAACTACCTTCACATGCTTACTCTTATGTCCCAGCTGGGAACGTATTTCAGATATGGTTTCAGTAGAACGAACATTTGAAGCCACAATTATATCTATACTGTTTTCAACGGCAAATGATATATCATAAGCATCCTTCTCGGAGAGGTTTGGTAGGTTTAACTTCATACCTGGCACAGTGACATTACGAAGCGAAGGTAAAATTCCACCTACATCTACTTGACATATCAAACAGTCAATTGCCACTTCTTTAACAAAAAGGGAAATTTGTCCATCGTTTATCAAGACTCGAGACCCGAATTTTACGAGGTGTATAATGTCCGGATAGTCAACATATATTGATTCTTTATTGCATTTATCATACAAATTTTTGTTAGTAGAGAGTCTAACAATGTCTCCATTTCTAAGGTCAATATCACCGCCTCCTTCATTGAGACCTGTACGTATTTCAGAACCTTTCGTATCGAGCATCAAAGCTACCGTTTTCTCATACCCCAATTCTTTCGACACCATTTCCGCTGCTTTTTGTATTATACCAATTGTTTCTAAGTGATAATCATGAGAACCGTGAGCAAAATTCATGCGCGCAATGCTCATTCCATTAAGAATCATATTGGCAATCACATCCACTGTTCGAGAACTGTGGCCAATAGTACAAACAATAGCCGTCAGACGTGCATTGGTGGATTTTTTATCAAAGCGCAGACGGCATAAATGATCAAGGTGATTACCTTCCTCAACAAATCGTAGGTCTTCCTCGCTTTCAGACATTTTTTATAATTTACATAAAATTTTTTTTAAATTTTCGAGCCTTTTACAACATTACAGAGAATTTTGGTTTTTTATAAATAAAATATAAAATTGAATTAAAGTTTTTTAAAAAATATTTTTTATCGTCGTTATACTTAGCAATTGTCAATTTTTTTCAAAGTTCTAACATTGCTTAGTCCGATGAAATATTAAACAATAATCCAGTCAAGACGTAGAGAGGGGTTATAAAGAAACCTCACAGTTAGTAGAAAGTAAAAGTGCTTAAGTGCACTGACTCAACTAGCCTCAACATAATAATTAACTTTTCTAAAGAAACCAAAAAATATGTTAAATAATACTTTAACTGGGGCTATTTGCTTTATAATGATATTGTGTAAGATGTATATATTTCATTAATTATTTGAAATAAATCTGATTAACAAATTTTGTACATATCTCGGAACAAACGTACTAGGATTGCTTAGAAGTAAATCTTCTTTGATATGCAACACCCAATTAAACTGTCTTGAGCGATATTCTCATATCGGTTCAGAGTGGGATCTTGATCCATACATATAGTTAACATTCTTTTAAATTGTATTGAATTTCTTTCTACTCGTAGTGGCTCCTTCTGCTTCTTCCCTCATATCTTTATCTAATTCACATACTTTCACAACAGCTTTTCAGTGAGTGAAGAACGCCAATTTGTATCTACAACAAAATAACAACTTCACTTTCTTGTCAAGATTATGATTGTCTTTTTGTGAGCAAACAGTGCAATTCGTGTTATTTTGAAATAATGTATAATTATACTGTGTGCTATTAATCTATATTCGTTAGTAGTAGATTTGATTTACGATAGCCAAGTCTGCACACATGAACAGAAAAAAATTTTACGCATTAGTTGTAGTTGTAAATAACCTTAATCTTACCAATATAGTAGTCCTTATCAATTACCACGGTTGTATAATTCAACTGATTAGTTTATCAGTTATATTAAATAGTAATGTGAAGACCAACTGTATTAACAATTGCGCGTAATAATCCAAGCAGTGTGCATCGATTTGTTCAAAGTCGAAATGTTTTCTGCGTTGAAACTCATTGTGGTATTGGGTCTCATTTCTTTTGGTTTCACTGAGGCCGCTGAGAAAAAATGGTGGGAAACAGCTTCCTTTTATCAGATATATCCTAGATCTTTCAAAGACAGTAATGGTGATGGTATCGGAGATTTGAATGGTAAGTGCTGAGTGCCCAGCGTTTGACACAAACACATTGGTAACCTTTTCTTTAACCAGGTGTAACTGAGCAGTTATCATATCTCAAAGAAATTGGTATCACTGCCACATGGCTTTCACCGATTTTCACTTCGCCTATGGCAGATTTTGGTTATGACATTGCCAATTTTACTGAAATTGATCCCATTTTTGGCACAATGGAAGATTTTGATGCATTGATAACGCGTGCTAAGGCAGTTGGTGTTAAAATCATACTTGACTTTGTGCCAAATCATTCAAGTGATGAATGCGAATGGTTCATAAAATCTGCTGAAAACGATCCGGAATACAAGGACTTTTATGTATGGCATCCTGGTAAAATAATCAATGGCACACGCCATCCACCCACCAACTGGATAAGTGTTTTCCGAGGTTCCATGTGGACTTGGAATGACAAACGTCAAGCATACTACTTGCACCAATTTCATGCCAAGCAACCTGATTTAAATTATCGCAATCCAAAAGTGCGCGAAGTGATGAAGGTAACTTGAAAATATTGTCACTGCATATTAAAGTACTTAACTTTAAAATATTTTTAACTTCCTAATAGGATGTATTACGATTCTGGTTACGAAAGGGTGCAGCTGGGTTCCGTGTCGATGCTATACCACATGCCTACGAAATCGAAGCTGATGCTGATGGCAATTGGCCTGATGAGCCACGTAATGAACTTGTCACTGATCCTGAAGACTACACATACCTTGATCACATCTATACTGTTAATCAACCAGAAACCGTTGAACTTATATACGACTTCCGTAAAGTCTTAGATGAACTCAATGAGGAATTGGGAGGGGATGAACGCATACTTATGACAGAAGCATATGCACCACTAGATGTTATAATGCAATATTATGGCAATGCAACAGTGGAAGGAGCACAAATGCCGTTTAATTTTGAATTGATAAGTTACTTAGAGAAAGATTCAGATGCAAATCACTATGCGGAATTAATCAATGGTTGGCTTAATTTGATGCCTGCCGGACGTACTGCAAATTGGGTGGTAATTTATGAAAGAAATCTATAGCCACTTATACATATACTAATGTTTGTATTTTTTTTTTAATTTTTAAGTTAGGTAATCATGACCGAAACCGTGTTGGCACACGAATGGGCGAAGATCGCATAGATATGATGAATATTTTGTTATTCACCTTACCCGGTTGCAGTGTTACCTATAATGGTGAAGAAATTGGCATGACAGATGTTTGGATCTCATGGGAGCACACAGTTGATCCCCAAGCTTGTCAGTCAAATCCAAATGAATTCGAGCGACTTACACGCGATCCGGTTCGTACACCCTTCCAATGGAATGACGGCCAACTTGCCGGTTTTACTACTGGTAACAGTACGTGGTTACCTGTATCCGACAACTATAAATTAGTGAATGTGAAGCGTGAGCGTGGCATAACAATGAGTCACTTGAATATATTTAAACAGTTGCAGACTTTGAGAAGCGAAACTACTATGCGCAATGGTGATGTCGAAGTAAAAGCACTTAGTGAGAATGTCTTAGGCATCAAACGGTAAGTCCTTAATTAGTTATATGGATAGTTTTCAAGTTTAATTTTACTTTCCAAACATAGATCATATGGTGGTCAAAAGACTTTCGTTATTTTGCTAAATATTATGAATCACGTAGAATCAGTGAACCTAAACGCCGCTTTTAGTAGTTTAACTAATGAGCTCACATATGAGCTAGTAACCGATAAAAGCCCTCGACGCAAGGGGTAAGCAATACATATAAAAATTTCATTTAAAAAATTATATTGCAAACTTTTTATTATTTTTATTTAGCGATAAGGCCTACACGGACTCGATTTTGTTAATGCCTAAGGAAGCTGTAGTACTAAGCACCACAGCCTAACATTTAATTTTTTATTTTTTGGAATACTCAGTTTTATTTTAAAATAAAGCACACGCGATTATATATGCGCTCAAAATAAAATGTCAAGATTATTTTATGAAGTCATGTTTATCTTTATAGTCGAATATATTTATACCCGCATTCTTTATTTATAATGCCGACTTAATCGCAGTATTACTCATAAAGAAACGATTTCAGTTCAAATTAAGAAACGATAAAATGTGTCTACAACACATTCTGCTAAAATCAATACCTGCTATTTTCCAGGTATATATAAAATGAGATGTAATTATTTTATCAATTAACGCCTTCATATTGTATATGAACATGGTCAAATTCAAGTTATTTTTGAATCAATTGGTCCACTTCAAATTTTAAAATTGAAATGCCATAGAGCAGCCCTTAAGCCAGTTCAACCCCATGAATGATAATTTGCTATCACTACAATATATAATAATCCGTTGATTCTTTACATGGTTGAATTCGTGTTTAAAGCTAACCCCAAAAAAGTTGTACTTTTTGAAATTGATGGAACTGATTGCAACGTAAATATGTTGGAACCTTTATAGATAACAACAAGAGACCCATTTAAGAGTCTCATGGTCCATTAGTCTTACTAGGAACTTGCCATTGCGATGCTTTGATTGATTTATTGTTAATAATGCGTTAAATAGTGTTTCATTTAAATCAGTTTATATATGTTTTTCTTAGGTTCATGCAAATCTAGATATAACAATAATCTTTTCTTTGATATCTTTAATTAACAATTCTTAAACAAAATCAAATCTCAAAATTAATAACATTTTTCTGAGTATTTCTAGATTGAAATTTTAAGATATTTACTTATAAGTAAATAAATTATTTTATTAATACATCATAAATATTTGAAAATATTTATTTTTATTTAACATTAGAGCTACATCAAGTTCTCGAACGCAGCACAACCGCTTCATATGGCATCAAATAAAACGATCCACTTAAGTCGACCTTATCCCTATAAATAAGAGAAGAGAAAGTCAAATATTTCGTTAATAAATAGCTTTAAATATAGCTTTAAATATTAAATATTTATTCTTAAAAATTCTTAAAATTTCTTAAAAAACTGAAAAAGAAAAAATCAGTTAGGAGAAAGTTTTCAAGTCTTTCATTTTTGTATCTTAAAGTTATTCAATTATAATGTTTATAAGAATTATAAGAACAGGCTTTATAATGTTCTTCTGAATTGCATTATTGTCGCTTAAGTTCTAATAGACAATTTCTTCCTCCCAAAAGGACCTTTAAAACTATAAATTCCTTTTAATATCAATACTCATTCATAAAACCATTTATAGAACTACAACCAAAGAACAAAAGTAACTTATTTTACTACTAATGATTGTGGAGGATTTGCTTTGATTTAGTTTATGGGCTTAACGTATCATTGGAAAGAGTTTACGTGCACATAGGTATATAACATATATGGTGGCACTACTAGCAATAATTAATTCTATTTGATCTTTCTACTTATCTATTTTTCTTCTTTTTGTTCATATGAATGTATAATTCTTCAGTTTACCGTGGTGTTCACTTATAGCATGTTAGGATATACTCAACCTATATATAATCAACCTACCCATAGTTATGCGGCGAATGTATTGTTAACAGAACGTATTCCATAGTCTTGTCAGCTAAATTTTCGATTCTCTCTACTTTATTACCCATATTGACCAGTACGCGATATTCCTCCGAATTTGCAGCGGCTCTAAGAAAAACATATTTTAAATCGATATATTAGTTAGTATATTGCATTATAAGTGATAAAAATATATTTTAGTGTCCTTGTCTGTGAATCGCTGCAGACGACAATTATTCTCTCAAATTTTAATTAAAATTCGATGTATTTTGTATTTTGTGTTTGCGAAAACTGCAAATAAGTGACAATGCCTGTCAGGTCAACTATTTGTGAACTATTTTCGATTAAACTTCCATCACCAAACAAACAACGAGTCAAGTCAACGAATTAATGAATGTCAAATAATCAAACTACGTGATGATGGCAACATAAATCTGCAGAATAAATTATGCCCTTACCTGACAATTTGGAGCACATTTTGCGTCAGTGCGTTGTATGAAAATCCTCCAGGTTGTTTGAATGCCTTAAACGCAGCGGTCTTCTTTAATTGTTGCATGCCCTTAAAAATTTGCAAAGTGCTTCGAGCCACTCCACGTTCAATTTGGACATTGTACCGTTCATAATCATCTGCCACGGGGAGCCATGTTGTGTCACCTTTTGTGAAACCAGCATTTGCTTGTAAATCCCATTGCATAGGCGAGCGTTCTGGGTCACGTGAATCACAAGAGATTGGAGTGCACTCTGTTGGAACATTTCCCATGCCGATTTCCTCACCCTATCGAAAAAGATTTATATAAGATTTTGTATAAGAATTATTATAAGTTTCATAGACATGTTAAAATTTTTTATGCCAATAATTCTTTCTCGACTCTTTCAATTAAGAAAAACTACTCACATAGTAAGTGACGGAAGCACCTGGCATGGCATTGACAATCACATTCAGTAAATCGACTTTATGCCTACCCATGCGATCTGCCACACGCGAATTGTCGTGATTGCCCACCACCCAGTTCGCCGTCTGGTGTTGCTTCCACATAGTATTCATCCAATATTCAGCTGAATTGACAACATCTTCCGCTGTGGAATAGCCATTCAAGTACATAAGATTAAAATTCATTGGCAGTTGTGCTCCCTGATGTGTGCCATTACTAAAATATTGACTCAAAGTTTCGACTGACGAATACGCTTCGGCCAATAAAATTCTGTGATTAAAAATCGTATGAAAAATGCAATAAAATTTTTATTATTTACTTTGATATTAAAATTTTTTGATTATAGGTGTACCATAATAACACAAATAAATTATAACTTAAGTTTCCCACTTATTAAGCATGTATAGTAGGTTTGGGTTTTTCTGCTCTAAAATTACTTTAGTGAACACACATGACTTTCTATTCCTCGAAGAATCTAACATTAAAAAATTAAAAATTTACCAACCTTGTTTCACCACCATTTTCCGACTGATATTTCTTTAAAAAGGCACGCCATTCGTACAAGAGTTCCACTGTAGCATACTGATCCTTTGTGTAAATATGATCGAGATAATCATAGCTGCTGGGATCTGTAGACCAACCACTAAGTGGTTCATCAGGATAAGTACCGTCATCGTTTATTTTCTCAAATATGTGCGGAACAGCGTCGATGCGGAAACCATCGACACCACGATCGAGCCAATACTTTAGCACTTCTTGCATATGTTCACGTGCCAAAGGGTGGCTGAAGTTCAAATCAGGTTGTTTATCTTGAAACTGGTGTAAATAATATTGTTGCCTTTCAGCATTCCATGTCCAAGCAGGACCACCAAAAACACTCACCTAAGGACAATAATGTTCAAATAAATTAATTCCAATTATTTTCACTGAAAGCTTTTTTTTACCCAATTGCTAGGCGGCAGTCGATTGCCAGCGTTATCTGCAATGCCATCGTGCCATACATAAAAGTCTTCGTAGCCGTTCTCCCGTCTTATAGACTTCTTGAACCACTCACACTCGTCGCTTGAATGATTCGGTACAAAATCTAATATTATTTTAACACCTATATCTTTCGCTTTTGCTATTAGAGCATCAAAATCGTCCAATGTGCCGAAAATTGGATCAATACGTGTGAAATTTGAAATATCATATCCAAAATCTGACATAGGTGACTCAAATATAGGTGAAAGCCATGTTGCAGTTATGCCGATTTCTTTCAAATATTCCAAACGTTCCGTTATACCGTTTAAATCGCCCACACCATCACCATCACTGTCCTGAAAAGAACGCGGATAGATTTGATATAGTGCAGCTGACTCCCACCAATCTATTTCCTGTGCCTCTAAGTCAGAAAATATATTCAACAGCAACAAAAATCCGAAAAGTAGGACCGTGTATCGTCTTGTCATTGCGGCGGCAATTATTAAATAAAACCCAAATTGTACATTTTAATTTTTTAAAATATTTTGCAACTTGCGATTTCTTATCATTCAGTGATTATCATTGCTTGTATCATAAATACTAACACTATTGGGACACAATACTGATAAAGTTTATACTACTCGTACATTCAACAATTTCAAGAAAAGCCAAAATAGTTAAAATTCCAAATAAATTCTAAAATGGAACAAAAATATTCCATTTGTTTTTTTTTTTGTTCGATGCTATATTTTAAAATCTTTAACCCTATTATATATTCTTATTAAATTTTATCATCTATGTAAATCGGAATATTCTGGGATATGCTTTGTTTCGTCTCGATTTTTACTTTAACTTATCATAATAGTTAATGTCAGTCGGTTCCAACCCAACAAGCACAAAGCGCATTCAGATTATCTTCTCAGAAAGAAGATTATAGTAAGAAATCAGGATGAATGATGGAATTGGAAATAGAGCAATAAGAAAATCAGAATGTTTGAGGGGATACGGAAAATGATAAGTAGATCGAATCTAACCCATAACAAGGTTAAGAACTTTGCTACCTTTATGGAACAAAAGGACAATTTAAATGAGTTTAAGTTTTATGCATTAAGGTGCTATTGAGCAGATAATTAGTAAATTGTCAAAAGTTAAAGAAATATGATTGGCATATATTAGGAACAACGGGATCTAGAACGTAGCTTAAACCTAACATAAATTCAGTACAAATATTTCTTACTGGTCTAGTCAGTTGTTGTTGTCTATAAAAGATGAAAGGCTGGAGCGTATAGAGATCGAATAGCTAATCAGTTGCGATATTAAAGAGAATACTTTATCGATATATAGGACATTCAAGTTTTGTTGCCGTAGATATCATAAGTAAACGTTCTATCAAATGTCGATGTATGTATAGTAAGAGGATACGATCCCAAGCGTTGCGATGGGAGGCGTCTACTGCTTAATAATCCATGGTCCGTGAATTTCAAAAAAATTACCAAAAGTGGAAAATAAAGATGAATAATAAAATTTCGTTTAGAGGCATAAATAATGACGAACTCGAATCCATCCCTTAACAAGATTGAGAGACCTTGCTATCTTAGTGGAACGAAGACAAAAATCAATTGTTTAAAGTTTTTTAAGCAATGGGTTTATGGGGAAATTGAGCAGGTAATAATGCGTTGTCAAAAGATACGGAAATATAGTTAGACTATACAACGTGATGGATAACTGTTTGTAATATAGTTATGTCCTGACGTATCTTTAGTCGAAATACTTCTTGGTGCCATGGGTAGTTGTCAGTTTCTATCAAAGATGACTTGTTGCACTGTTGTTAATGCTGCACTAGATATATATATTGATTGTAGATATCTATAAAGATATTCTGTGTTCTGATGTCAATGGATATTTAACACAAAATTCTCATTCAACGCATGTGTTGTGAAGAGAGGTCTCCACTGCTTAATGCTCTGTCTTTATCTTTGTAAAATATCTATGGAAATTACTTGAATAGTGTTTTTATGTATTCTTGTATAATATCCGTTATTTATAAGAATATATTTTCTTTCACCTAATTGCAATCATTGATAAAACAAATAACAACGTATTAACCTCTCCAATTCAAATTGATAGAGCGGCTTGAGAAAAACACTTCAGCCAAGTGATTGTAGGAATAAAATACTTGAGAACTTGAAACAATCATTTCAGTTAAGCAAATTATACAATTAAAACAGTTTTTAAATTGATAAAATCAGAAAAGTTCTTCGAAAACAAAAACAAAAACAAAATTGTCAATGCAAAATTAAATGTTTACAAAATAATGAGAAAATTGCGCTTGAAAACGAGTGACAACGAGTGACTTTTCTGTACCAACTACACAAAAACTGTTGACAATGCAATTGATTTTCAAAAATTTCCCAGTGGATACTTTAGTTTTATCTGAAGAGCAAATATTGAAAAAAACATTCAAAAACAAGCAAAAATTATTACCCGAAAGCTTTGAGTGAAAACACAAAATCAACTCAATCTTTGATATAAAAGATTGCGCTTGCATGCCATTGCAATTAGTTTAGTGCAACATTTACCAACTCCGGTACAGTAATGATCAGACACCCGCGAAATTAAAATTCTCTAGTAACTGAAGGACTTCATTAGAATAAACTATAAACTATAACAAAATGAAAATCACTATTGCTGTAGTAGGCTTCGGTCTCTTGGCCTTGCTTGGCACCACACACGCCACTGACTGGTGGGAGAATGGCAACTTTTATCAAATTTATCCGCGCTCATTTAGAGATAGCGACGGGGATGGCATTGGGGACCTAAAAGGTAAGTAGTTTCAGCGCATAACAACGGACGAAGTTTTGATTTTCTTTTCACAAAGGTGTCACGGAAAAGCTGCAATACTTGAAGGATGTTGGTTTCACAGCTGCTTGGCTCTCTCCTATTTTCAAGTCTCCTATGGTTGACTTCGGTTATGACATATCGGATTTTTATAAAATACATCCTGAATACGGCACAATGGAAGACTTTGAAAATATGATTAAGAAAGCTAAAGAAGTTGGCATAAAGATTATACTCGACTTTGTGCCCAACCACACCAGTGATGAGAATGAGTGGTTTGTTCGCTCTGTTAATGGTGATCCAGCTTACAAAGATTTTTATATTTGGCATGACGGAAAAGTCAATGCCTCAACTGGTGAACGTGAACCGCCTAGTAATTGGATAAGTGTGTTCCGCTATAGCGCCTGGGAATGGAATGAGGTACGTCAACAGTATTACTTGCATCAGTTTGCTATCAAACAAGCTGATCTCAACTATCGTAATCCAGCTGTAGTCAATGAAATGAAAAACGTTATGCGCTTTTGGTTGGGTAAGGGAATTTCTGGTTTTCGTATAGATGCGGTGCCGTATTTATTCGAAAAGGATCTCGATCGTTATAACAATTATCCCGACGAACCAGTTATTGAAGATGTGTCCGTATGCCCAGATCCCGATGACAATTGCCATCTACAACATCCCTACACTCAAGATCAACCGGAGACATTTGATATGGCATACCAATGGCGCGCATTAGCGGATGAATTCAAAAAAGAAAATGGCGGTGAGACACGTGTGTTGATGACGGAAGCTTACACAAGTTTCGAAAATATTTTGCGTTTTTATGGAAATGGCATTCAAAATGGTTCACATGTGCCCTTCAACTTTGACTTTTTGACTAATATGCAAAATGATACCAAAGCTGGAGTAGTTGTTGAACATATCAACAAATGGCTCGATAACATGCCAACTGGTGTACATGCCAACTGGGTCTTGGGCAATCATGACAACAAGCGTTTAGCGTCACGTTATGGCATACAACGTACTGATCTGTTTAATATTCTTTTGCAGACCTTGCCAGGCATTGCGGTTACTTACAATGTAAGTAGACATTTGGAACTATTCATAAGTTTAAGTAACTGTAATTAGTATAGATAAATTAAATTCAATCAAGAAACTTCTCAAGTTGTATTCATCTTTAAAGTCTCAAAAATTATTTTTGCCCAAAAAAATACTAATTAATATACAAATTTAAAAAAAATTACCACAGGGTGAAGAAATCGGTATGACAGATGTTTATATTAGCTGGGAGGATTCAGTAGACCCACAAGCTTGCAACACCAATCCTGAAAATTATTATGGTGTTTCGCGAGATCCAGCCAGAACACCTTACCAATGGGATGCTTCCAATAATGCAGGTATGTGCACAAAATTCTCTTTTAAATCAAACAGAAATAATTAAAGAATATAGTATTTATAGTCATTTAAATAACTTTTGCTATGATTAAATAATTTAAATTACTGAAGTGTCTTCTTAAGTAACCGAGGGACGTAAAATTTACATTTGTCGATAAGACGTCTATCTGTTTGTTGGGTGTGAATGATTTTCGCGGTATCAACAAAATTATTGTCTTTATGCAGCGACGAAAATAATTTAAAATATATTCCAATACTGTCATATCTTAATGATGTCAGTTGCACACTGAAGTACAATCAGGGTGCAGAGTATAATTAATTGAACCACAACCAAAATTATCAATCAATCAAAATTTATTTAAAATTATATGTAAACGAGTACAATAGCTCCATAAATGCGCTGGACTCAATACCCCATATACTTTTCGTAGGCAAATTTAAGTAAGGACTTCAGATTCTTTAGTGCCTTTTCATTTATGATCCACAGCAGTTCGAAGCCATGTCAGACGGCGGTTGACTCGATATTTTAAATTATATATGCGGGTACTTTGTACAATAAATGTGTACTGGGAATTGTATATAGTAATTTGGTTTCTTTATTTCTTTTATAGTAATTTCTATACTTTCATTTTCTCTGCTCTTTATTTGCTTTAAATGCAGCATTGAGTTTTTTTCAAAGAATTCAAATATTAATACCTTTCTTTTCGAGATATATATACTAAGCCTAATCGCCTACAAACGGACACCAACATTTTGTGGGTAGTTATAATTTTTTTAAACATTTATGTATAGACTCAATTCTCTAACCAGTGAAAAAAGCACTAAGCACTCTTCATAAGTTTAATCAAGCAGTCTCTACATACCACTATATCCACTTACTATGTGAGGAAATCAAATTTTTTCAAATAATTTAATAGAGAATACTTAGCACAGAACTTAATGATGGTTTAATAATGTAGTTATTACTACCTTTCCAACTAAGTGTTGTGTTATTAAACCCACAGCAATTATTGTGTGTATAATATTATTTCATTAACTATAATAGATAACTATTGAATTTATTTAAAATCTCTCATAAATTAGGTTTTTCAACCGGTGATCAAACTTGGCTGCCAGTCTCGGACACTTACAAACAAAACAATGCTTTAATGCAGTTGCGAGCACCACAATCCCACTTGCAAATCTTCAAGAAACTTATTCGTTTGCGCAAGGAACCTTCCTTCAAGAATGGAGAAATGAAAATCAAAGCGATTTCGGATGATATAATAATATATTCGAGACAGAAAGAAAATAGTGACATGTATGTAGTTGTCCTTAACTTAGGTGCTTCAGATCAAGTTATTAATATAAATGAAAATTATGACATGGGATCCAAAGCAGAAGTCATCACTGCTTCAGTGCAATCACAATATGTCGATGGGTAAGTCAAATTTTTATTATTTTTAGATATCCTGAGGATATACTTGAGTGATCGAAACATTTTTATTTTATAGCGACACATTGGATCCAACTAAATTCACTGCGCAAGCTTACGTTGGCACTGTTCTAGTAGCTGTACAATAATTTATTAATTAATATACTATTTTTTAAATTATATATTTTGTGAATATTAAAGTTTTATAATAAATAAAAGTAATTTCTTGACACCATAATTTCTCATCGTTCCCGCAAACGTATTTGTATACCATTATCGGATTTAAGTGTAAGTACAGCTGATAAAATTGGATCATATTTGCTTTGATTATCCTTTAGATGGGTCTGATCTTGCTTATATGGACTAAAGCTGTGCTGCACATAACCGCTTTTAGAAACTAAATCATCCGTTGGAGGTAATATATGGAATGTGCGCACAATACGAGATATCACTGTTTTCAACTGCAGTTGTGCAAATTTTTGACCTGGAGTGATATAGAGTTAGTAATTTCGATACGAAGTTCTAATATATTTCAACAAACCTATGCAGTTTCTTGGTCCTGCACTGAAAGGCACATATGCAAAGGGATTAAGCTTATTATCTTGTTTATCTAAATCAAAACGGTCTGGATCACAACGATAAGGATCCGGAAAATTTTCGTCATTGTAACCCAACATGATGATTGCAATATTGAGCATAGTATCTTTCGGTAAAATTGTGCCATCTAGAACAAATTCAAACAGATACTTATAGTACATATTCTTTTGTTTTATATTAATGTCATTGCAATTTACTCATATCATATTGTTGATCGGCACGACGCGCAATCAATGGCACACTAGGGTACAAACGCTGTGATTCCTTCACCACCAAATCCAAGTATTTCATATCACTTATCTCTTGGAATGTGGCTTCTCGTTTCATATTACCGCCCATAATTTTTTCTTGCTCTTCATATACCTTTTGCTGAAATTCTCAAGAAATTTTTAGTTTTTTAGTTGTAATATTATTATTTCTTCTTGTAAATTAATTACTTGCACACTTGGATGTCTAGAAAGCAAATATATAGTAAAAGCTATCCCAGATGTTGTGGTGTCGTGACCCTAAAGATATACATATACTCTGATAAAACTTTATGGTTTCCTTTGAGTTTTAACAAGAACCTTACCGCAAACATAAATGTTGAAACTTCTTCATAAATTTCTTGCTTTGTTAAAGGCCTACCATCGATTGTAGCTGTCAGTAACGTATCTAAGAAGGCCATTTTCTTTCTAGAAAAATCTTCACTATCATCGTCTACAGCACCGCTTTCATTATTTTTACTTTTTTCTAAAGCTTGCATTCGTTTTTCAATAACCTGTGGATGGGATGAACTAGAGTTACAATATAATTAATATGTGAAGTTTACCTCATTCTGCTTACCTCATTTGTGAAATTCTGGAGAACTGCTAAAGTTTTCGCATAGTTTACATACTCAGGCATATGTTTGAATATAAACATATAGCGCTTGAGTGGGTGATAGGCACGCATATTAATACTCAAGCACATACTTAAAGTAAATAAAATTTATTAATATAAAGATATTAACTTTTTATTGCGTTAACGTACTCCTTAAAAGCCTTTACCAACTCGCTATCACTGTTGTTCATGGCATCAATATCAACTCCCATAGCAGTTGCTGTAAAATATTATAACACCTGCATTAGTATAGTTTGGAATCAAACAATATTTGTGCTTCTTACCGCATATGATATCCAGTGTCAAGTAGTGCGCCATATGTTGAAAGTCGAAAATTGTCTCTCCCATCGAAGCCGAGCGTAATTTCTCTATAAATCTCGCTGAAGACGTGTTCATAACGTCATGGAAATTTTGCAGTATTTTAAAATGAAAAGAAGGTGTTATCATCTTTCGATGCTTAAACCATTTTGGTCCATAACCTGTAAGTAAACCAGTGCCAAGCCATGGATTCAGCATGTCATATACGGTGGATTTTCTTTGTAGAGTATTACTAGTCAGAACGTACTAAATAAAAAACATTTTTATTCTCTGTGCAATCTAAATGTCAGTAGACATTATCATAATTAAACATTTTCAATTATGTACATATATTATTCTCTATTACAAAAAAAAAATATAATGTTATTTACCTCTATATCTTTAACTTCCGAAACAACGACGTATGGAGTATAAGCAATCCAAATCCGATAATTAGACTTTCCATATACATGCCACCAGTTAAACAGTTGATACAAAATTTCTAATGGAATATATTTTAAAAATAAATTATTTAAATATACTCTTTTATGGTAAATATTATGATTACAATATTAGAATTTACTAATAGAAATATTTATAAAGTTAACAAATTTAAAATTTCAGTCCTTCATCTGATCTATAATCAAAAAAATTAAATCTTCTTTTAAAAGAAGAAACTATATACAATACTTCAGTTAGTTATATATTTATGGTTGATTTTTTATAGACCATTTATTAAATTAAACTTTCAGCTAACAGCGCTATCAAAACATAAGTGCCAGCTAACAGCACCAAAGCACCGAAAAAAGAGGTTATTTCATTTAAAATTTTTGCAGTAAACCTCTTATAAGCATTTTGTATATTTTTTATGTTAAGAATATAAAATTGGTATGCATACTTTTTTGTTATTGGACCAGAAACAGAAGAAACAGTACTGTAAGGTTTCAGATAAATAACAGTAGTAGCGCACAAAAACTAAATTTCAATATACCGCCATTTCCCTGATTGAAATACCGTACCGACAGTTTGCAAATTCATTCATCTGAACTCTAATATAAATATCTTTTAAATAACCTTGTGAATACAAATAGTTTATAATTTTAATATCATTGAAGTTATACTTATTAATGACGTCATACGTATATATCAAGATTTGGTTCATTAGTTTTAAAAATAAAAATATATAGTATTTCAGTTTAATAACGTCATTAACGTTGTGATGGTCAACTTTAGGATGTAGTAAACTTGCGAGAGATTCAGATACTTAAAACATTAAGATTCCATTTTTCTGACATGTATAATTGGCCCGAAACTTAACTTGTTTTGAAGCCTCAATTATTAAAAGTTTGGCATTTGAAAAAATTAGAAACATGAAATTAATAAATAAGGTTTATTAAGAGAGTAATTTTTATTTTTTTAGAGTTTATTAATTAGAATATTAAACCCTTTCTATTACAAAGGTTATATTGCTCATTATCTAGACATGTTAATGCATATGTACAACATATAATTGTATGAATGGTAAAATATGGCTTTCTTATTCACAAACAAAAACATTTATTGGAGAATAAGTAAACAAAATCTACTTGATCTATTTAAGATTCCAGACGTATACACCAATATGAATAAATTAATCGTTGTGAAATAGCAAAATATTTTTTTCATAGATTTTGCAATATAACTTCAACACTTTATACCAATAAATATAATAATTTATGCCGAAAACTGCGCAATAGACCGTCTTAGAAGATGCAAAGAAATGATAGCGCAATTAAAATCTCGCAAAATCCGGACGACATTGCTCCTAAACTACCCAAAGGAGAAAAATGTCTGACCGCATTCATTTTTCCACCACGTATCACATTTTTAAGGGTAAGAATTGTGGCCTGGCAGCCTCCAAAATGGGACTATAATAAATCTACCAAAAAAAAAATACTTTTACAGATTACGTGCTCTATAGTGGCATAATTCTTTACAGCTACATGCAAAATATCTTAATAATGAGATCCGTTAATTACATATAGATCACAAAAACTCATTAACTGGCAAGCACTCAATCGAACGACACACTCTTTTATATATTGTTTTTATCTTCTTTCTTCTGCTTCTTTCTTCCACTATCCCATAACGCCTCGAGAAGTTATACCAAAGCAGTAGACAAATTAGGTAATTGCCTTTATCTATACGATATTTTCTAGAATGACAGTGAGAATGAAATATTTAGGTTACAGCAAGACTGTATTCTCTTCCCGCTTTTTTATAACTTTGTGATCGTGGTTATAACACAATAGGCGAGTGTTATTGCATTTGGATTAAATATCAAACTTAATGATCTTGATTACACAGATAACATATTTATGGTAAATTTACATTTACCACATAAAGTATTTTTGTAATGATCCTTTAAAGCCAACTAATTTTCTAACTCAGTAAATAAATTTTTACTAAAAAAAGCCAGTAGTTCGCTGGATGCCAAAAATTACAAGATTACAAGAATACTCTATGTGCTAGAAAGAAACTATAAAAAATTTATTAGGTTTTAACGGAAAAAATTGATAACATTTTCAAAAAACCCACCCACTTCGAACCCACTTAAGTACTTTGATCTATTGGATATCAAACTGAAAGATAAGTGCTTGGATTAGCTGCTTTTGAGACATCGGTTTATTTGAGTGCATTTTTTTCCTCTGATAGCACTATTTTAAACATCCTGTATTCCGATAAATATTGAAAGTGCACTCTCTTCCATATGATTTTGTTTAGTTTTGGAACCAAATAGAATTATTTCTTGTATTTATACTAAATAACTCGAAAGCATGTCTATATATGTATTAAATATTATTGAAAACACAACTGTTTTTAAAATTCTAAGTTTTGAATGCTAAAAAATAAAAATGAATTTAAACAAATACGAAACCACACTGAAAACAAGTCTCTGAGGGCACTTACGACTCTTCACTCTTAGGTGTGTTATCTGCTCTAATACAAAAGAAAAAATAAACCGAGATAAGAGGAGTATGCCATATATATCTACATATATAAAATTGAATTTTCATCAATTTTTTGGAATGCATCCAACATTTACCACTTGCAGTTTGTCCAAATTGATGTGCGTTTCCTAGCAGTGGCAGAGCGACTGGACCCGGCAACCGATTTAAAAACTTTTTTAATGTAAAATTTTTCAACTCACAAAATAGGATCACCACAAATGGTGCTAAAACCAACAATACTAACCACATTTTCGCAGTTTAAATTAAGTAATTAAAAATTAATATTTAATTAAATTTCAAATTAATTAAGAAAAATTTAACTTCGAACGAAATTATCCAAAAAAAAAAAATTATCGACAAATGTTGTGGTAGACATTTAACGCCAACGCGTACAACTACCGAGAACGGAGTTCCACGCGATACTGACAAACGCTAAACAAGCAATGAAATCTTGTGTTTGTTTTCTTTAAAATAACAAAAAGCAAAAACACAATGTTTTTTAGAATGACTTTGCATTTATGTATTTGCTTGAAAAAATGCTTTCGATTATACAAAAAAAAACAGAAAAAACTCGAATAAATTGTTTTTTTACGATCGCATTTGTCCGTTCAGTTGATATCGCACGCGAGGGAACCGGTATTTTAAATTTGAGCTTATATAAGCACATACCTATATATCTACGGAATTTTTTTTATTGTTTTTTATACTTCTGGTTTTAATTACATATTACATATGACTGATCGCTACATAGAATCATAGAATTAATATCATATGAATGATGAACGATTGAAGCGTTGTAAAGTACTTACGTTACAGTACCTTCGCTTAAGCTGATCTTCCCGATGGTCGGAAGAATCTATGTGGCATGTAAAGTGATCGCACATATATGTACATACATATTATTACTATTGTTGGATAAAATTAATTAACAAAATTATATAAATTTCATTCGCTGACCATACAGTTGTTTCGGATATTGCCAAATATCCAACATCAGTGGTCTTTGCAAATATTTATTGATATAATTTTTAAACAGCAAATGCTAGATATCATATTGATATCTATCTTAATAGATATTGGCTTAATATACAAATCCAAACTCGCACTTAAATTGTGTGGTTCAAATTTGAAGTGTCACCTTCCTCCGTGCTTTTATATTGGAGAAGAAATCATTTCTTTTTTCAGGAACAATCACTTTCCTTTCATATTTTACTTTATTATAAATAATTTGCTGTTGGTAAATAGATAAGTAATGCACAGAAAAAGGCTTCGATTTTGAACTATAAAAGGTTAGGTAACGTTGTAGTGGCGGCCGTTGTAGTGAACCGCGAGAACCCAATTGAATTCAAATATCATCATCACTCAAGTATCACAGGAATAGCATTGGTTCATGCATATACAAGGTGATCAGTATACGACCAACGTCGAGAAAGGCAACTACTCCATCATTAGGTGAAGGTAAACGAAACTGACGGTTCTATGAATCTGGCTAGGTCCCTAATATTGCAGAAAAGCAGCTCAGTCAGAACGGTGAGGAAAGCGGACCCCAATATTTTTAATTTTCTCCTAGCTAAAAAAGAAGGCACTGACACATGGAATAAAATTCAGTTTCTTCCTCGCCTTCAGAACTACAACCGCGACAGAGATCATTATAAGGAAAAACTAGTCATATAGTATACCTCCCTATTAGGCAGTGATCCGGCAGCACCGATGCCGTAGTGCTGAGCAGATTCCGCTCAGAACTTGCAAAGAATGTATCCATTAGCAACACCGCATATTTCACGGTAGAGGAGATGGGACCGTACCTCATCTATTTAGGTGGATTTTTGAGCGAATAAAATTGTTTAAATGCATACTTCTTAACTTGATTTCAAAGTTCAATATAGCCGAAAGTTCGTTCTAAGCGCAAAGTGCTTTATGTACAAAATAATAACTAGCTTGTCTTAAATATACTTGTTAAAATAATAATTGTTAACTATTAACTATTTAATTATATTATTTTAAGTGAACTATTAAAACTTGTTTTCAATTTTTAATTACACTACATTTTTTTTTCACTGTGGTTTTATTTCTTTATAATATCCACTATTAAGTGACATACGTAGTAAAAAGCTACATAGTATAGGAACTACAACAAAATACATATATTTTTATGGCGTTTTGTTATTACCGTTCTGTACTGGTTAGCTTTACTGAAGGTACATGTTATTGCACAATAATCTTATTTACAAACCTTTAAATAACAAGCATGTTACAAATATGTTTGTGTAAAGTACAATTCTTTTATGAATGAGAAATTAAAGTCATAGCGATGTCGGATAATATTACAATATATCTCCAACAGAACAAATTTAAAATTGAAATTAAAAAATTAGTGAACATAACTTTTTAAATTTAAAAGGTGACTAATCACCTCTAATTCTATATATTCTGTATAAAGGGTAGCGTTGTAAGCAATGAATTTTTCTAACACGAACTAAAAAAACTGAATTTTTCAAACGTTTTGTTCACTGCATTGTTTATAGGTAAAACTGCTCGCTATTGGAGAGATGAATAAATATTGAATAGGAATATATACATACCATCAGACAATCAAGCTGCTTTAAAGTGATTGAGTTCAATCCATGTTACATCTTAAAAGGATTGTAACAACCACATGTCTGTCATATTTTTTCTGTGTATCCAATCTCCAAAATATACCTCAGATATTCGTTTGAGAAAGGTCTAGACATGTCGCTGGCATCATACATTCATTGAAATTTTTCTATATTGAGCAATTAAATACTAGTAAGCCTCCTTTCTAGTATTCAAAGCCTCCTTTCTAGTATTTCTAGTATCCTCCTTTCTAGTGGCATGCGTCATCATTAAGCAAGTTGGCCCAGGATTGATTCTCCCGTTTAGTAATTCTTGCAGTTGTGAAGAAGATGAAGTAATATCTTACATCTCTTTTGTCACTAAAGACTCCATTAAGCAAACTAACTTTATCTCTGTGAAGTACATATTTCAATGATTGATTCAATAAAAAAAAAATACTCTAATAAATCGACATTTTGACATATACCTTAATGGTAAATAATGGCATATATATATACTGCATCCTTGCAAAATTTCTCAGTCCATTTTCTATAACCAACACAGTGGCGAGACATTACGATGAAACAAATAATAGTTGTAACATTATAACCAGGACATGCTCCGAGTACATAAATTGCATCACCAAACAGTTACATTTTCATCTAAAAAAATAAAATTCGACTGATTAAGACTGATTTTTACATTTCTAGAAAAACATATACTAACCTTAACTCAACAGTCTGTGCCAAGTACTTCGGCTGTTGTCTTATCTTAGAACTGTTCAGCAGCGTTTAAACAAGTGAATCCGTATCATACAAATAAATATTATTGTAAGAGTAGTTCATAGGCATAATAGATAAAATGAGTATATTGGGTTTTTTATTGTCTTTATTTGATATACGCGATGCGAGTCAAGCCAACAAACCCGACACTTTTTTCGGAAGAAACACATAATGATACGCTTTAAAGCATGTAAACAAATATTTACTTGAAAATGTGTAGCTTTTTATAGCCGCTTTTAATATTTTTATAAGATTGTGCGTAAACATCTTCGCCTGCATAAAATCTTGGACATCAACTGACGATGTTAATAAATGTAAACGCTTGTAAATGTTATTTACAGTAACTTGGCCTTTATTTGTCCATTTAATAACTTTAACTGAAACTACATATTTAAAGAAAAACTGTTTGAATATAAAGTAATGCCACTTTTTTAATTGTTTTTATTATATTATTTATAAACAGCATTTAACCCGCGTACAAAAACTGCTCCTTATTTGACAGCGTCGTTCATTCACAATAAGCATTCGTTGCCATTCGCAATACATCTTTTCTGCCATTCACAATTAAGCATATAATTTGGTTTTTAAAAAAATTTAAAATACTTTCTCCCATACTTGTCTCACACTCATACATATGTAATTTTAAAGTTCTTTTTATTGAATTTGTTACCAAAAAACTATTAGACAGCAAATGTTTTTGGCAGTTTTAAGTGTGATAAAAAACAGCTAGTTGTAACCGGTTGCTATAAGCGCTAAGCAAGATATGTACAGATATGTACATATCTTGCATATGTACAGATAATGCAAGTAAATACATTTTGTATAAAAATAAATAATAAATAATAAAAGTACTGTGCAGAATGCAGAAAATTTTAAATTTCCTTTTACAACAGTTTAGAATATTTATGCCTTAATAAGCATGTCTTGTTAGCAGCTAATAAGTTAAAAATTTTAAACCGCTTTTGAATTACACTTCCTACACCTACTATTATATATATTTGAGACATTTTTTTCCATAATTTTATATATATTTAAAATATTTCATTTTCAAACTCATGCATATTTATGAAACTTTTTAATTTTGCTTGAGTTTTTGTTTACAATCTATTGACATATGACTGGAATATTCGTTGAAATTTCCAATGAATGTTCACAATAGTCGCTTATTGCGTGGGTAACATTTTTTTTGTAACTGCTAAAATGTTTAGCATTTTTAACAAACAATTTTAACATTTTAACAAAATGCAGTTAAGGATTGCACCATTTTCGTGTGATTTTTTTTTTGCTTAAAATAAAAATAGTTCAAATGAAATAGATTTTTATTACTAATATGAGCACACTATAAATTATTTTTTTTAAAATTGTATGTATATTTCAGCACTAATTTGGATAGTTAAATAATTTATTTTATGAATTTTTATACATATACGTTTATTATATTAGATATAACACCTAAAAGATAAACTGAAATGAAGTATTGTTTTAATATTTGCCTTTTTCGATATGTCTATTACTGCAGAAAATTCTTCTGACACAAGTTAACTTAAAAATATTAAACTCATTGTATCAAAAAAAAAGTCGAATTTAATCACTTTTTAAACTATAAAGTGCAATTGTTTTTGTAAAAATTAAGTAAATATTTATGAAAAAGTCCGATTAAATAAGAGAAAGTCTCCACGCTGAAATTTATTTTGACAATACGGTATGATTTAAGATCGTATGTCGTACAATAATCACAACCGCCGAATAATACGGTCTTACGCAGAGCAATAAACCTCATACGATTTTTAACGCAAAACAAAAACCATATAATGTTACGGTTGTTGTATTAAATTATGAAAGTACGGTATGTACTTTAAATAGATGAACATGTATCTTTGCTGACTTGTGAAACCTGTGCCCGATGTGTTATCTGTTGTCGCAATTTAGAAGAATTCTTATTGATGTAAAAATCGTGCGTTCTTAACAAAAGCTATTAACGCGGTCAATCAAATGATTGCGGATAGCCACATTTGTTGTTTTAATTTTTCAACATACATTAAAAAGCAACAACAACTGTGGTAGTCGACGGTCAGAGCCTTACAGAGCTTGTAAGCTTATAAATCCCAGTCTTAGACTTTTTTAGCTAAAAAGCTGATAGAAGAACAGGACATTATTTGAATATATTCGGCAAAATCGTATATTTGTGTTTTAATTTCCGTTTGCATGTATAGTTTAATCTTTAAAAATTAATAACTTAATACGGTCTACTACTTTTAATAAACATTATAAGTAAAGTGGACATTATTCCCTAATATTAGAAATTTACAGAAGTTATTGCTTGTTATATGACTAACCATGATAATATATTATTTCATCTCTCTGGATTCAGTAAAAGATTCTATTAAAATTTTATTCAATGTGTTTAAATTGAGAGATCCTGTTCATCTTTCATAGACCAATTTCTCTCATTACGCACATCAGGACTATGCTTATAGTATCTTCCATTATCTGCGTTGAAATATCTAGAAATAGAAATACGTACACCATGTCCATGTCTATTAAGAGAATAATAGTTTTAAATAAATATTAAATAATAAATTAAAAATATTCCATACTCACAAACTAATGTGGGAAATGAAACGTAGTTATATGATTTTAACCTTTCACAAATTTAAACATTTCGAAGTTAAAAGAATCAAAGCGAAGCATATGGTCAAATGCCTTTCATAGTTTTTATTCGTTTAAGTACTTGCATCTGAGTTTCCGAACTATCCGCCTTAGTTGAAAGTAGAGCTACTCTTTTGCTAAGTGGAAGGCGTTTACAAGCACTCCAAACGCATTGATATAACAACAGCACGACTTACAGTTAGAGCGGTAAACCGAAATCAAACAAGTGATACTCAACGGTAATAAGAGCGCTCTTCAGCTCTTCAATTCCTGCCTACACAATAATAGTAGTGTCTGCGCATTACTTAATGTAGCTCTTAAAAACCAAAAAGGAAAAAAAGCAAATATGTGTGAGCATTTACATCTTTTTATAAAACAAATAACCAAAAATATATATAAAAAATGTTTAAATTTTGGTTAACCACTCCAAATTTAAGTGTCGATACACCTCTGAGGCTTCGCTTTCCAAATTTGTAACAAAAAGTGTTCGTTGTTTATTCAAACATTTCCCAAGAATTCACTGTAAGTAGAAAATGTATCTATCCAAAAAAGTTGGCACAACAAATGTATTCCTTTTCGCTTTAGCTTCACTGAAATCTTTATTTCTCTAAAATCAGGAAAACAAATAAATTTTTACTACGAATACACTTACGTTCATTAAAAACACATTTTAGTTTCTTTTAAAAAGAAGTTTCAAACAGTAGTGAGCCACAACAACAAAAATTATTTTTATATTATTTTTAAATAATTGATTTTTGGACTGACCAAACAACTATTTCGATACCCATCATCAGTGGTGTTGGAAATATTTCTCGTAAATAATTTTTTTGAGACTGCAATCTAATTATTTTCTTTTCAGGTAATTAATTAATAATATTTAATATGAGTGAAGTGTAATATAAGTGATTCAACGAAGAATCATTCTTGCCAACAGATGTTACTTCGGGATAAGTAGACAATTGAGAAATAAAGTCTTCTCTTGACAAACAAAAACCACGCTCTACAACTCTTTTATCATACATGTCCTGTTGTGTGGTGTAGAAGCTTGGACAATGACCAAATGTGATGAGAAGGCGTTAGGAGTATTCGAGAGAAAAACTCTTCGGAAGATCAATGGTCCCTTACGCGTTGGTGACGAGTATCGAATTGAATGAAACGATGAGCTGTAAGAGCTATACCGCGATATTGACGTAGTTAAGCGCATAAAAATTCAGCAGCTTCGCTAGTTTGGATATGACGTTCGAAATGAAAAAAGTACTCTGGCTAGAAAGGTGTTTGATTCAGTACCGACAGGTGGAAAATGCGGTAGAGGACATCCTCATCTTCGATGGAGGGACCAGGTGACCAACGGTTTGGGGGCGCTCGATACTACCAACTGGCGACAGCAAGTCACTAATCGCCCAAAGACCACTCACGTCTGTAATGGTCAACTAAGTAAGTAAGTAATAAGCGTGTTTGAAATGTTTTTAATGTGATTTTAATAAAAAATTTTAAGACGTGAATATATGTTGTGCAAATAAATATTATGTTGGTGAATATTTGTATAAATTTCCATCCTCACAATAAGACAATATACTGGTTTGGAAACTTAAGTCTCAGAAAATATGATGAACTGCGCATGTAGCACGATAAACTTCCAAATCCATGGCATTTAAATTGTGCTTCGAAAATTCTAATCTTAAAAAGAGGACCGTGTCTTCTCTGACCGGACTGAATTTCATAGTTGCGAGAAGGACAATAGTTGTGTTGTATTTGAAGTCAAGACTGTATCTATAGTTCCAAGATCTTATGAACACAAAGAAAAATCTTACAAAATTTGAAAATAAATACTTTTATTCTTATGGTTTTGTCATAATAAAAATACATTATAAAAAATTTTAATAAAAACATGGAAACAATTATTTTTAACGAGTAATTTAAGTCCCTTCACTTCCTCTATGCTTTTATTTTTTCAACAACTAATAAAGTTTTTAACACTTTTAATTTATAAATTTATATAAATATAAATTTTTTGAGAAAATAAATACAAAACACTTGAATATTAAATGTGTTTTTTTAAAAAAAATTACATAAATAATTAATATTTTTTTTACTCACAAAATATATATCGAGTTCTATTAAAAAATATCATACAATTAATATACATATAAGACTACTTCTTAGCAGTCTACCGACAAAATAAAGTAAATTCTTTAAACATTATTTAATTATATTATTATCACAATTTGCATATATGAAATATGTAAAAGATAATAATATATGGTCTTTTACCTATTAACACTTTTATTAACAGATTCAAAGATTTAATTGGTAAGAGCCTCACGAGTCTGTAAGCGTGGGTGTCCTTTCCCATGCTAAAAACAAATTTCTTCATTGCCAAATATCTTTATTTCCATATATTAACCAATATCGTCATCATTCACAACATATTGTTATGATAGGAGTGCTATAGTTTTGGGAACCCAGTAGTACTTTGGGACCGCTTACCTTTTCCTATATTCTATATATGCAAATCTGTCGAATAACCGGTTAGTTAGTAATTGTAAATAAATTAAATTGATCTATAAAAACTGCAATCATTCAGGCACAAGTAAGTCTACTACAACTGCTATCCTTTTCTCCTAACTGGAGCATAGGACCTCGTAAGTAAGTCTATTCAAATTTAAAAACAAATAAAATCTATTTAATAAAAATAAATAGATTTTATTTAAATTATTTCACATAAGTATTCTTTACTTAATTATATATATCTACTGATACTCGTTCTTGATCACAACCAGAATTAATCAATGCCGACGCATATGCAGGGCTAAATGATCAGAACGACTGAAGGAACGAGCGCAAAGAGTACAGTGGAACGGTTTCACTCCTGTATGCTTGCGATAATGCCGCGTCAACTCATCTGATCTTGCAAAGCGCCATACACAACCCTCCCATGAGCAGATATAAGGTTTCTCGCCTTTCAAAAAATTCACCTTTTATTTTATTATATATTTTGATATATAAAATATATTTTTACCTGTATGCGTTCGCTTATGGGCCTTTAGGTGCGAACTTTTGGTATAGACTTTACCACATCCTTCTGTATCGCATTTATGAATTTTTCGGTTTTTTGAGAGATCAGAATTGTTACTAAATTTATTTTTACAGTATTCGCTTATCCGTACTGAACTTCTTTCTTCCACAGGGAAGCGAATTCCGGACGTTGAGGTGAAGCCACTCTGTGAGGAAATTTGTTTGTTACTGCAAGCGTTGTGGTTAAGTGTAGAAAAGTGTAGAGATGACATCAATTTAAAAGGGGAAGCCGTTGAGTTGACCAATGATGACAAATTCCCTCCTCCAGATAAATTAGGTCTATTGGCAGGATGTATAGTTGAATTTAGTTCACTTATATTTAGAGAAGAAGCTTTACGTTCCGAGTAGTCGTAGTGATTCTTATGAAGGGTTAATAAGCTGAACTTATGATTATAATCCTGGAAGAGTGAACGTGGTTTAGTGCGTGACGAGTGGGGTTCAGATTGGGAGAGAACATTGTTGTTCAGATATTTTTCAGTGTTTTTGTGAGATTCATAATTTTTACAGTGAAAATTAAAATAAAAAGAAGTATTTGCAGAACTGCGAGTAGTTAATAGATCTCTTGAGTCTGATGAAATCGTTGAGTGTGTATATAAATAGCGGCTTTTCAGTAAATTAGACGCATTGAAAGAACGTGGCGAATAATCAAAGTGCTTCGATTGTACTCGTGAGGTGTTCTCGGACTCACCGCTTTTAGATGAAAACATATTTGCAGTTGAGAATAAAAAAGTTAAACTGTTGTTTGGGTTCTTATTAGCTGTTTGATGAGCGTCTGGAATGAAACAAGAAAGGTGTTTTATAATATATATATATAGTTATATTTTGGGAATAGAAATAGTTTATTAAATTCTTATATTAATATCTTCTGCTTTATCTGAGAGAAACTCTCAAGGGACTATATTTGTATCCTGAAAAAAGTTAAAATACTTTTTTTAATGGCACTATAGTTAAAAATGTTTGATGATGATGCTCATATTGGGTAATAGGACTATTACTATTTATTATTACTTATCCCTTTCTTACCATCTATAACAAATTGATATAAATACTGCTATGGGATTTATTTTTATGAAGAGAGCTAGCTATAGCTAGTTCGGCTATATATTAGCTTTCCTTATAGAATTTACACAAATCGTCATTTATTCATCCTATCTGCTATAAGTGGTAATTGAGTGGACTCAATGTCTTTTTATCATTATCCTGTTCTGCCTTAATAGACTTAGTTTTGCTTTGTATTGGGGTTTTCATAACTTGCACTTTAACGTGTTTAAAGTCAATTAATCTTTTCGCCCACCAGTTGCCTTTCTGAATTACCCAGTAGTTCTTTAGGTTAATATTCTTATAGTCACAAATTATTTTTGAAGGTGTTGTGCACACTACACAAATGTTTTGTGCCAATAAAGGGATTTTTGGTTAAGCAGAGTATTTATTGACTCATGTCCTGATATCTAAATAACTAATAGAGTCACTCTTAGATAAATTTTGTAGAAGTTCAAAGCATTTCTAAAATAGTTCTATTGTATCATCAGTCTTTGTGCTTATCCATATATCAATTATGACTCAATTATGACAGAGATGTTAATATTAAAATCTTTCAGTCAGAATATCGTTCTTGTAATGGTCAAAGGCTTAGTTTTTAGACTAAAAAAGTATATATAAACATATGTGCTTAATTACACTAATATTCAAACTAGATTTTTAAATATTATTCGAACTGATCGCAGTTGCGAGCATTTCAATATTCGAATGTGCTTGTTCTCGAGCATTTTAGTTGGGTAATGTCGAATGGGTGCTACGAGCAAGTCAAGAATTATTTAACGTGATTTTCTGCCGTGTAGACTTAACATCACGGTGTTCTTCACACACGCATCGGTATATTGCGCCGATGAATGCCCCATTGAAACGTCAGGGAATTCCGACGATGCCAATTAAGAAATATGTGTAAGACATAACTTCCACCTTGGTTTGATGCGAGACCCATCTAAACCTCTGCTGATCTTTGGGTCTCACCACCCGGTAGTGAATACGCAACTCCACGCCGAATAAATGAACATTCTCCATGCGTGGTTCTACGAGCAGTACGAAACTGTATGCAAACACACATAATGTTATATACATATTTATACGAAAATAAGTAAAACATAGAGTAGATTTGCTGTTCCAGCCATCGTAATGTTCGATCATATGAATATGAGATTCGAACATCAGGCTGTTCGAACATCGCAATGATTGAACACTTTGAAGTATATTAACTATTGTGGCGTTCACAATCTCAGATAAATGTTTGTTGATGTCACTTTGCTCTGTTACTGTGTTTCTCGGGTAGAGATCTGGTTACTCAAGATCGCGTGGCTTCCACTAATATATCTTTAATCATACAGAATAAATATTTATTTTTACTTTACTTTTTACTTATAATTACAATTAGATAATTTGCTTTTATTGAACCAAAGAAAAGAACAGTTTAAAATAGAATCGCCTGGAAGTACTTAAATAACACTTTATTATTACACCGATTACTAATAGTGTTAGCAAGATTTGTTACTTAATTAGTTTGAAGAAGATGTCATATATTGTTTTTAATAATTAAAATTATTAATCCTTGGAAAGTGATTGATTCCCTTATTAGCATACATTAATTAAATTTTTGTATTCTCCAAATGTGGTCCAACTATGTCGAGTTTGATTAAAATGTTTTTCCATGTGATTATGCCTTGTGATTGCCATACATGGCGATCTAATTTGGCATTGTTACATATGGTGCAGTTCTCTTGCTACCAGCGAAGTGACTGATAGGCCGAAACTGTTTGGTACCATTGGCAACTATGGAAATACGTCGGCAACTTGCCGCAGTGCACTTGAGAGGTAATGTTGTGTGCAGTGAACAAATGCAACAAATGCAACAAATGCAACGGTTCTATGGCATGCACGTTTCCAATAAGTGAACGCATTTGCCATTTTTCTTCGTAAATCACCACTTTTGCCAAAACAGCAAATGATTTCAAAATTTTCATTTTATTTACTACTTTTTTTTTGTTTTTGTTTTTGTTTTTGTTTTTGTGTTAACACTCTAGTAACATTGGCAGAATTGCTAAGCTGTATGTCGTAAAAAGTGAATGTTGCAGTAACTAGGAAGACGCGTCTTCAAGTGGTTAATCGCACTCATAAAGCTGAATGCTTATTTGACAGAGCACAGCATGAAAACCGAGTGTTTAAGTGCCAAGAAATACAAGAAAAAAATAATATTTCAAAAAGTTAGCTTTGGCTTTTCCGAATCTGAAATACCCTTCACAAACAATTACTTAAAACTTACCAATAATAGTTTTTGTACTGGGAAATAGACTCTTACATGCTTAATTTAAAACATTCGATTTATTGAAATGTTCAGAACTCATATTAACTGTAGAAACGTCATTGATTTTATACTGCGAGATTCTAGTGATTCTAGAATCTTGCCCAGTTTATGTGCTATCTTGACAATTCCTATCTGTAGGATCCTCTTTACGGCAGCTATAGTCGATATAGTTTTCAGAAGTTTTAATACTTCGCATCCAATTTTATTGAAAAAATTTTTAGAAAGTTAAAGGTCCGTTTTCATACCTATCTGAACCACTTTGAATGAAATCTAATACTTATATTATAAACATATAACATCCCCATTTATCACATACTAAATTTAGCTAAAGACTTTTAAAGATTAAATCCATTTGTTATATATTTATATATAACAGCAATGCGGTATTGTCATCGGATATTATTTATTCGTACAAAAGTTCAAAATCCGTTCCCATAAACTCAATGATTTGACTTAATCAATCAATCTTACCATATACCTAATGAACTAAGGTTAGTTTGTATTAACCTTATCTCACTAATCGAGTGACAAAGAGGCAGCCATCGATGCATCGATCCAATATATTTTCTCAATAACTCCTGACATCTAACATACTTAACGACGGTACAAACATTATGACAAAGTTAATATATCTTTTCTACGCCATCTGTATGAAGGGTGTAAGAAGCGGTTTGCAAATATGTGACTTTTGTTTAGGCAATATTTGCATTAATTATGATGAGCAAGTGAATATGTTTTCAACTGTGGATTTGACGTTCACTTATGCCAATTCATTTACTTTCAAAGAAGAAATAGAGGACATTAAAGTTGTATTATATAAGACTGATTATTCTGGCAGTTACAATATACATTTTCGACAGTCAGACAATTAATAATAAAATCAAGTAATAGAGTCAGCTTTGGCTTTAACGAAATTACAATGCCCTTCACATACCTGTAAGGAGAATTCAACAACAGGGTAGAATTCGATTTTTGATATATGTATATATAAGATTGAACTTATCGCCACTTAAGAGCCTTTTTGGCTCTTGCTCTTTACTTATAAAATCATAACTGATATGGTGGGAGAATATTTTTTTTCTCTTATAGATGCTGTAAGGTCCTAATCAATAAATATCTATTATTTAATTTTTAAAAAACTAACCCGTACATTAGACTGAAATTGGCGGGCTAACTCAGTTTTCGGAATCCACTCTCATAGGGGTTCTACGTAATAGCAACTTTAAAAAGAATGAAGCAGTAGACTTTTTTGGAGAGGCATATATTTCCACTATCTGCAACTAGCTGATAAAAATACAATAAGGTAAGGTCCAAGGAATTCATTAACATGAAACGAGTTCATACTACCAGACTAATCGCAGCTTTTCCAGGTCACTTGTTTATAGAATATCACCCAAAGAAACTGCACCTTTCATTCAACAAGAAGAGATAATCACATTTCTTCTCTAACTGGCTAGCTTTAGCTTACAGACGGAACAAGTTTCTAGGAAGTACTTCTTGTGAGGAATGTGTTGCTTGAAACGGTAAATAATTGTTAAATATGTAAGGTGTAGACCTGGGACTCAAGTTAGAAAATATTGATTTAGAGTGTTTAAAATATTTCTTTTTAAAATAGATCCTATTGTTAAAACTAGCCTAATATAGTTTTATAAAAATGGAATAAAGTTGTAATAAGCACTTATGTACTCAATTTTGGAAGATATAGTACTATTCACAGCACTGTTTTCTAACCTTTTCTGTGCTTTGCCATAACTTCTAAGCTAGCATCAGTTATAGATTAGTTTTTAGTAAATTAGGTCAGATTACTGCGGAGTTATTAATTTTAGGTTAGATCACATTGTGGAAAGATGTGTATTATTCAATGTGATGTTGCGAAGTTGCAAGGGAAAGGTGAGCTATAATAACTTTTATTATTTATACAACTACTATATCTTTATGTGGTGTTGTTGTCACGATACGTAATCTTTAGTAACTGAAATAATCGGCTCAACATAAAACTCGCTTCTTATCTATAGAGACATCCATCTTTAAAGATATCTATAAGGACTAATCTTTCCAACTAATCTTTATCTTGTCAACTTCTGCACAGTTCAGTTGCCTGTTGAAGTTATTCCATTTGAGTTCAAAAATTCCAAGAGTTTTGTCAGAAAAACCAAATTTATCTCATAAGTTCGGTAAAAATGTTGTACGTTTTCTACAGTATTAAATTGTTGACTACCGATAAAATCTGCAACTTGAGCTAAAGTAATTACAATTGTTTTACAAATAAAAGATATAAAATGTATGTCTAATTAGAACAAATAATTTTGCTTCGATCATGAATTATTTAATTATTTTACACAGAAAAAGTGAGAAATCAAATGAGCAGAATACGAAGACTAGATAG